TGGCACTTCCACTTTTTGAAATGCAATCATTATTTTGTCTAAGGATCCTGTAGTGACCAAGCAATGAAATCATTTCGGGTTATTCCGTGCGGTTTCTCGCCAAGATCCAAAGAGTATAACCCTATGTCTAAATGAGCCCTGCCTGAAGCTGTTCCGGAGCCATGCCACTCTCGTTACATTGCGCAGCCCTTATAGGCTTATAAGTGATTAGTTGAGTTTTGGTCCCAACGGCCTAGTCTGTCATAGCTCGAATAGCATCGATTAAAAAATTGCGATATTCCCACATAAATACATTTGCAAATCAGTGGCACTATGGAGACGCAATCGGTCAGCTTTGGCCAATATCTTCATCTTTTTTATTGGCATTGCATCTTTAGTATAATAATTTCGATCAAAGACCTATAGAGCATTGATAATAATTTCTGGGACCATTCGTAATGGGCTTCCTATGCATAAAATCCAAAGTATACCCCTTTTGTCTAAGAGCCTTGTTTAGTAGGCCAGTTCAAAGCTGTCTTATCGTCATTTAGACGCTCGAGGGCAGTCGATATAAGCGTCTCTAGTGCGATAGTTGAGTCCGTGGTTACCTGGCCACTGCCTATCTCACCTTCTTCGATGCAATTTATTACAGAATTGCATTTACCATATAAACTTGAAGTGCAAAATCTGTGTACTTCAAGAAGCATTCACTAGTATTTGCCTAATATCCTCTCTATCTGTTACTTGGCATGTCATTTCAAAGGTAAATAAAAATTATTGTCCTAAGACTTTTAGTAAGCATTAAATCGTGTTTCAAGTCAAATATCATCGCCGAAGCTTCCGAGCCCAAAAATCCAAATGTTTACCTTTTTGGTCTATTTTTAAATTAAAAATCATATAGATTCATCATTAATAAATTTTTTATCAATAATTTTAATAATATTTATGTATAACCTAAACATATTATGAAACTATTTTTAATTTTATCAAAACTACGAAGTTAAATGTAAAGAACTAGGTTACTGTTTTTATTTAGGTTGCTTTATTAAGTTAAATGAGTTATTAATTTGGCATTGATTGTTTTCAAATTATACATTTTTTGTTGTGGATTGACAATTTTTCAAACTAAATAACAACCAACCGTCCTCACCTCTATTTGTGCTATCTATCACCTTTTGTTTTTTCAATTGGTTTGTCTTACCGGTTTATATTCATTATGATATAAAAAAAATTAAAAAACGGAAAATCCTAATACTAGTACTCCCTGATCCCTTTTCATTTGGCGCGGTTTCGCATGCAAGATCTACTGCAAGAGCTAAAAGCTAAGCATAGTAAACAAAAGGAAAAATGACAAAAAAAGGATATTTCTAGACTTGTACTGGGCGGGTAAATTATAAACTGTAGCTACCTCCCTTCTCATCGTTTTCCAGTTCCTCAACTTGCCAATTTCGCAATTGTGATTATTAAGCGAAGCGTTTACTATAACGATGAGGAGGATTATTGTTATCCTAATAAGCTGCGTACTCGGGCCTCTTTAATTACTCACGGGACCGGGCATTGCTAGCCACAAGCCGTCTGCAGGATCAAACGTTGCCTAAAGCGAGAAACCTTGTTATGCCTATATCCACAGGCTACCCTCCTTTCTCTACCACCTTCTCCATCGCTTCCCAAAACCACCCCACTCTTCTCCGTGCGTGCAACCGCCTACCTCTATCAAATTTCTAATGAGACCCGACTCTGGTCAACCCCGCTGTCAACCTCTCCACTCTTTCCCCGCATGAGGACCTCGCCATCAGTTGTTGCTGATCTAAACCGCCCCACTAAGTGCCATGGAGTCAATGAATTCGTACAGCATCGACCTTCCCCAGCGTCTGGGTCCCACCGCAATCTGAATGGCTGAGACAGTGTGGAAGCTGACGGGTGTCTTCGCAGAACTTTCTCCCAATTGCGTGTGGGCAATCCCTCGCTGCCCGTCGGACCTATGTTATGGGACTCCCGCTCTTCAGCCACACAGAGGGTGATGGTAGACTACCTCAAGAAACTTACTAATGCGGTGGAGGACATTCTGATGACCATTCGGGCCATGAGCGCATAAATAAGGCTAATGTGTTCCACTGCATATTTCGGCCTCCCACATCTTTCAGTTTCCTTTGGTGCTGCAATCAGAGCTGATACTTGCAGCAAGGTCCTATGCGGCCTAAATGCAGTTGTTATCCATTATGATGTTGCAGCTATTTTCGTTTTGGTTCTGGAAACACGGTCAGGTTTAAATACCAGAAATCGACTTCTCCCGTCCAGTGCATTAATGGCTTAGATTTTCATCCGCAAGTCCTTTTTTTTATGTTTTTTTTCTTTTATATCTCTACATAACACACGCCAATTCAGAAATAGAACTGTGTTTGCATAATAAATTTGATTTAATGAATTTTTATGTTAAACTGAGTTTCTAATCCCCATTAAAATATGTTGGCATTAAAACCCAGTCCTATTGAAATTTCCTTTTAATAAATTTAATATGCATGGTCATCGGTATTGCAACTGCTTTTCTAAAAAACATCTATTTTATCTAATATTAACAAACAATCGAATACTAGGTTTATGTAGTACTATTTTATACATTTTACTTACTTATTGTACTACGAAAAAAAAAATTCTACTCTGTGTAACACTATTTTCAACAACAATATCTTATTGTTAAAAGTGATATGAGGTTTTTGTTTTTTAATGTCTTCATAAGAATAATGATTCATCTTAGTTTCCATAATCTGCTGTAGTTTCATCATAGTGTCTGAGCCAACAAATCTTATCTAGATTATTCACAATCTCAATTGCTATCCTATTTTCTTGAGTTACAGTAACAAGTCTAACTGTCAATTTTCCCCTTGAATCTGCAGAGACATACAGATCATGGCTGGAGACCTACCCGATATTTGGCCTGCGCAAAACACTTGTTCTTGTGCCGTGGAACTAGTGGACTGACCGCTTGCATTCTGAACCCAGAACTGGCCACCTAAATCAACTAAACATCAAAACCTACAAATCCCTCAAAAATCGTAATTAGCATAGACTATAGTTTTCGTTATTTCCTGAATCATTTTTTCATGTTGGAGCAGATGAGATCATCCCAGGTGTTGGCAGAAAGTGACCCAGACATTCAGTCCTTCCCGTCCCTCATAATGTGATCCCTTAAATCAGCTACTAGAGGCATTTGTACAAACCACCTCCTCCTATATTGTATCCTAAATACCAACAGTGTGTATGGAAATATTTTATTGGATGCAATTCAAGTGGATATTGGGCCTTCAATTTATCCACCTAATACACTATCTGCAACCTGAGACCTACTGGTCCAAACAACACAAAACGGTAATCGTTGCTGCTGCGTACCGGACCATGTTGTCATCCTCAGAATTCTTATTATTTGGATCGGGCATTGTGTGACTTTCTTGGATATTGATATGCCCAGATCATGATCAGCACACTTATCAAGTGGTACAAAAGGCGAGATGGCGGGTCATTGTGTGGACCTTTTAAAACATGATGCAACCATACTTATAATTTATGATTATAACTAAGATTGAGCCAGGAGGAGTGCCAAATTGGGCTTGGAGGTGAAGTCTGCATTGTGGTCTGAGCAAGCATAACCCAATCGGTTTTAATGCAACGGCTTTGGCCTAGAGCTTCGGCAATTGCAGAGACATTTTGGGTCAGCGGAATAGGGTGAGACCGTTTATGAAGAGTATTGCAGAGGCAAATGATCGTAAACGATGAGTAACAGAAATTGGTTAACAGAGGATTGAGGTGACCTCCTTCAGCCACTCTGCAGTGATTAAGAACCCAAGCATGGTGTCAATATCAGATCCATCAATTTTGATAGTTGTCACTTGTTTCTTTTCTTGGATCAACTTTCAATTTGTGAAAAGAATGGCTCCATGTTACCTTCCTTTATCCATGCTCATACTGTTCAAACGTTCTGAATTTTCTCCTCTTAATTTCTTTCTAAATTATAACTTCCTATAATTAATAGAGCTTGCTTGTTAATACGGGAATTCTTGCACTGTACTTAGAACGCAGCAATGCAGATTACAGTTTTAGATAGGATAAAAATATTTAGGGGATGTAGATCTTAGAAACCTTTTGTGTTATTACTTTTATTTTTTTCTTTAATATCAAATATTAGACCATGTTACTTTAGCCAAAGAATCAAGCCAGTAACAACGTCTATAAATCTTCTCGCTGGCAACGACTAAGCCAGCTCTATTCCGGAGGACAAATATTACAAAATTGACGTGTGCCTTTTGTAATTTTATCTTCATATAAATATCAAAGTCTAACAACACAACGTAACCAAAAGAAGTGTCTAAGTATGCCATGATAGCTCTTTCTTCTAATGATTCTGGTAGAATATCTAATTCATAGGTATTGAGATTATCCGTTCAAAAGACAGAAGAATATCTAATTTTAAGTTTCCGTAATAATGATTTATCAATATTTTTTTGTTGTGCATATAGTGAATATCCAAATCTTAATTACTTTTTATTGAACTTCCGCCTGGATTATCAAGAACTTGGATGTGTACTGTAATTTAGAAGAAGCAAAGTGCACTTTTATTACTAAATCTAAGAGTTTCTTTTCATTTAAACAAATAAATTTAACTAATACAAATGTAGAACTTATTGATTATCGTGCATATTCCCTATTATCCCGAATAGTAATTTTAATTTATATATGTTTTCTAACTCATTTTAGTGTCAAGACCGTTCCATAACGGTCTTCGAATCCTCTTAAACTCATTCTAAATTAAGAGGATGAATACGTTGAATTCCTATGTCATCCCATACTCACCGGTCCTTCACCCGGGGTAAATTTGTCAGCATAATATTTAATCGCGCCAAAGCAATGTAGCTTGTTTGACTTAATTATGCCTCACTTCATCGATCGCGTCCCCTACCTTATTAAAACCTTTCAGCGACTCTTTCATTAACCTCTAGAGATTTCTCTCTTCTTTCTTTCTTGCACTTCTTCAACAAACGAATCAAACAATCACTATTTTTTTTTCTGAAAAAATCAATTTGGTTTACTGGCTTGCACCCAACACACACCGCCCCACGTGAAGGCCTTCCCCCTAACTTCTATAAAATTAAGTGAAAATTTATTTACGTACAAGCTATTCATCTCCTTTACAGGCTTCACCATGAATTCTCTAAGCTGCACGCCTGCGGTCTTTGTGTTTCGTTGTTTACTTGCCCCATGCTCGAGTGCGTCCATATTGCAGCTATCTGTGATCACAGTACTCTGAGTCTTCTGTTGTAAACATCTTACTCTCAGTATACCTCTGAGAGATCCCTCTGCACGTATTGCCTGTCCCGGAGCGCATTATAGCCTCTTTCATACTCTGTTGCGACACCACTGTTGATATAGAGGGTGCTTTGTGCGTGCATCAAGTCAACTGCCTCAGCAATTATAACATTTCCAAATTCTCACATTTAGCCAGCTCCTCCAAGCATTTGTGGAAATTCAGCTTTCCCTACACTGCTCTCACCAACTTGGACTGTTTCCCAGTGCGTTTATAATATATGTTTTTTTTCTTTTTTTTTTTTTTTTTGTATTTTCTTGTACGTATATCCTTGTTAACATTGTTCTTTTTGCAGCATTAATTTAATTAAGCAGTCACCGCCGGATCTATTGTGTATGCGTACTCCCTTGAATGCTTCATTAAATAAAGTGAGATATCAACAGCTTTTACTTCGTTTATTATCTTTTTGTATGGATTTCAGAGGAGTTTATCTTAAATCCTATGTGATAAATAATTAACTGAAACGTCTGGCTAGCTAACGACTAGACACTCCCAGTAAAATTAAAACTTATTAATAAACTGTTGCTTTTGTTAGTGCGTCTTGCAGCACATCATATGATTACCTCGCTTTCATTCACAAATCTGGTCAACCAAAATATTATATCCACCTGAATTCGTAGCTAGCTTCAATCAGAATTAAGATGAAGCTTAGCATCAGGTCAAAATAAACTGATATATATAATAAATATGAGGAGTCCAGTCGTTACGACGAGAAGGTTCGGTTGGTCTTAAGCTTAAATTAATGAAGCGGTGAAAATAACTTACGCAGTACGATTTACATGACCGAAGCTCTAGAAGAATATACAAAATGAACTTTGCACAACTTTTCAACAATTACAGCCGAAACGGAGAAAAGTTATCTACGGGCAGTTTTGGGTTTCTACCATGGGACCACCCGTATGAAAAAGTCCAGTTGCCCCAATACCTCTTGACATTTGCGGATCATAGCCATTGGATTGCTCAGTTGAAAGTACCAATGTTCTTTTAGGATTCCTGAATTTATTGGATCCATCAAATCCAATTTGAATTATTTTTTTTTTTTTTTTTTTTTTTTTTTCTTGTACGTATATCCTTGTTAACCATTGTTTCTTTTTGCAGGATTAATTAAATTTAAGCAGTCCGCCGGATGCTATTGTGTGTGGTACTCCTTGATATGCTTCATTAATAAAGTGAGAACAGCTTTACTTCGTTTATATTTTTGTATGGGAATTTCAGAGAGTTTATTAAATCCTATGTTGTAAAATAATTAAGCTGGAACGTCTGCTAGCTAGACTAGACACCTCCAGTAAAATAAAGCTTATTAATAAACTGTGTTTTGTTTAGCTTGCGCCACATCAAATGATTACTCGCTTTCATCAAACTGGTCAACAAAATATATATCCCAACCTGAATTCGTAGCTAGCTTCAATAAGATTAAGATGAAGCTAGCATCAGTTCAAAATAAATGAATATATAAATAAATGAGTAGCAGTTCCAGAGAAGGTTGTTTGTTCTAAAGCTTAATTAAGAAGCGGTGAAATACTTACGCAGTACGATTTACATGACGAAGGCTTAGAAGGATACAAAGAACCTGCACAAATTTTACAAATTACAGGCCGAAACGGAGAAATTATCACGGGCAGTTTGGGTTTCTACCAGGACCACCGTAGAAAAAGTAGTTGCCCCAATCACCATCATTGCCATTTTGCGCATCATAGCAATTGGATTGCTCAGTGAAAGTATCAATGTCTTTAGGATCCCTGAGATTATTGGATCCATCAACAATTTGAATATTCCTGAAATAACAAGACTTCCCAAATCCTTCTTGCGGAAAATGGCCACTTCCCATTTGAGTGGTGGTATGCTGCCCATCAGATGCGGAGTTTACGATCTCGCCTCCCCACTCGATCATTGTAGCGCTGTCGGCCAGGTAGGAGAAGAGTGAAGCTGGCCAATATCCTAGCACATAGTCATTCCCGAACTGTATCCACCAGTTACCTTCTTTTGGGTCCTACAGCATTATTATTGCCCCATTTAATTAATATATGCTTGTATCTTCAAAAACAACCATGCACGTAGACCACAGGTGCCGCAGATTCTTCGCATGTTTCATTATAATAATCAATAAATATAGGTATACAAAAATTGAGAGACAGATTGCAATGAGCATATTTCTTGTCTGCCATAATTCATGAGGGGAATATAGTTTTTTCCCTTTTAGACAAATAACATTCAATTGTCTGTTTTTACCTTCCAAACAAGTAGGCTGATATCATATTGGGAGCCACCATAGCCAGAAACTGGGTAGATGCTTGCACCCATTGCTATCTGATTATTAATTTGAACAAAGCCTGAGCACAGGAGATTGTAGCAGCCAGTTGCTTGATATGCATCGCTCTGTCACGAGCACTTGAAAATTAGACCAAATTCAAATAATAGAGAAATGAAATGCATTTACAAAAATGGAAAAAAGAAAGGTGAAAATGGGGCACTTACAGTCCAGTAAGTGAAGAGTCTAGTTCTGTTATCTCCATATAAATCTGGACTGACCTGTTTTTGTGCATGGCGGACAATAGACAAATAACTTAAAGTGAAGACTGGTAGTATTTAACTATTCATGATATACAGAGAAATATCTGTAATGATGATACAACCTGCCAGCCAGCTTCAATACTATTAAGATCTTGATCAAAAGAACCTCCAAGGATCCAGATTTGAGATAAGCTGAATTCATTAGCTTGTTGTATTTTGGGTTTCCAAACATTTATGGTTGCCTTAGCTCCATAATACTTGTCACCTTGCACATAAACTATTGCATGCTAAAAAGGGCTCCAAAGACGGAAAAAAAAAACAACCATCAGAAAAAAAGAGAATCAGAAAAGGCTGAAAAAGTTGTCTTTCTTTTTGCTTTTTCCTTTTGCCCAACGACATTTTTCAAGGATATCTACTAGCTAGCGAAGTGGGAAGAAAGAAGACCTGATGGCCACTTTGACTAATGAGATGAGGTTCTGCAGACCGGGGTTGAGGGAAGGTGAGATGCTTCTTCCTACCAAAATTTTTGACAGAGGTTGCTCTTGATATATCATCTTTTTTAGTTCTCCTGATGGGAATAGTTCCTTCTGGACATCTTCCATTCAAGTGCCACAGCTGGACAATGGGCTTCGAATTCCTTACATCTTCATCAAAGGAGACCTTACTCTCATTGAAAAGTCCTTTTGGGTAGAAATTGGGTCTCATCTGTAGCAGCACAAACCTCCTCCTATCAAATACAGTTACAATGAATATTTATAAACGTAACTTATCTAAGTGTGGGGAAAACCCAAATCAACCTCAATTTTGTGGTCTTTGAGGGAAGGATGATCAAAAGCCGGTTGGTGGGCAATATGGACGCAGTCGATTATATCCCCATCGGGGCTCTGTTTTAGGGATTTAAAGTTAACATAGACATAACTTGAAAAGTGAAAACTGAATGAGACGGGAAGGGAAAAGAAAGGGAGCACCTTGATGGATTTAAGAGGGGGCTTGTTCAAGCGCTTCAAGTGGTTGCGAACTTCCAGCTTCTTCCGCGACAGCCTGCTTCTACGCCCAGCATGTATCAGAGGTATCAATAAAAACACCAACAAAAAGGAGGCCATTATCTTCTGATTTCCAATTATATGTCCTGCCATAGCCTACTACCTCGCCAGATTGAAGTCGATTCTCAGGCGCTGACTCACAGACCAACTATGTTAGAGAGAGTGTGTGTCAGAAATAGTCTTTCATCAAGTTTGAACCATGGGCAATTCGGATGGAGTTGAGCAGTGGATTACCTTTTAACATATTTGTCTGCTTATCCTGCACCCTCCACAAACCAGTAGTCCATTGCGCACTACTCATGCTTTCACTAACGAATACAGACAAATGGCTTTCCACGGCAAATCCACACACACACACGCACACAAAAACGCCAGCGCCTTTTTTCTCCTATAGTGCTACTGCCTAGTTCTGGAACCTATGGTGGGGTAGGCTAGGTGAATTAAAAATTAGTTTATAAAATTCTCTATTTGGTCACGGCAGAAATTTAAAAAGAGAGAGAGAGGAACATTAGGAATTAGATATTGGAATTTGAAACTATCGATGCAATGACAAATGAATATATACTTGTCCATGCTCATGTTTAAGATAGTTTTGTTATTGCAGTTGACGGAGTTTTATTACTTAATTTTATGAGAAATTTCAGATTTTGCACCTTTCAAAATTATCATAAGAACCAATCAAGTGGTTTAATTGATATTTTCACTGAAACATTTCAAATTCGGATCTTTTAAACTATAAATATTTTCACCAATTCAATGAATACATCAATTCAGTGAGTACCAAGGATACCATCTAATAATTGACTTGGTAATAAATAAAAGACGAAAGGAATTTTACCACTAACGAGCAAGGCCATGTGGAAACCGCTTATTAACGGTAGGCCTAAACATAGCGATGTCCATATCCATCGCGGGGCCAAAGATCTATCGGTAATTATAAAGGCCAGAAACCCTCATTAATGCGAACTGTCGTTAAGCCACTATATAATAGACCCGCTTTGGACTATGCAACACAAGCTACAGGTCCCACAATTTCAAATCATTCCTTCTTTTCATCCTAAAGATAATAGTTAGTTAGGTGACTTGTTTTTATTATTCACAAGACAACAGTTGACTCAATAATTGTTTGAATAGTTAATACTACAATATACATTTAAAAAAAAATTAGCGTATTAATGGTAATGTGGAGTATTTTTATCAAGTAGAAAATTGATTTTCTCTCTTTTTTTTTTTTTCATCTTTTCTCTATTGTAATCTTGTTCTCTCTCTTTTAGTCTCAGTTTCTTATGTCATATATAGCCTAGACTCAGACCAGAGACAACTACAACCCATATGCTTGGGCCCATGGGCTGAGCTCTGTGGGGCTGAAGGGCCTGGTCACTCTAAGAAACTTCTTTAAAAAAAATCCTTTCAGAAAATTACATTTAAGAAAATTATATTTGACCTTCTAAACGCTTAAAAAATTTCTTCGGCTCTCTAAACTAATTGTTCTAGCTCCAGCCTAGTTGTGCTGTCTGTAGTTGGATCTATTCAATTGGGCTGTCAGGTTGTTAGTTGAGCAGTCCTGCCATTAGAAATCTAAACTACGACGGTCCAGAAAGGCCTCTTAACTCCAAGGTTCAGGGCATCTTAATTCATCCCTACATAAATTAATTTCAATTAAAATGCATAGTTCTAAGTTCTAAACCAAAAAATTAATCTGTTTGGTCCACGGAATGCATGCTTCTACCCATAACAGTTGTTTTTTTCCCCCTATTTTAACACGTATTTTATGTCATTTTATACGCTCGTAATTTATTTTTTATATATTATATAATTTTTATTAATTATTTGTTTATACTATCATAAATAGCTACTGAAAATCTAAAAATATAATGATATTTCAAACTGATCGAATAATTAATCTTAAGTTGAGATGAGAATTAATAGTTTAAACTAAAAACTTGAATTATCTTCTCATTTTTGCAATCATTCTTGAAAATATCTTAATTTATTATCAAATTAATGATAATATAATTTCTATTAAAAATGTACATGTAAAGTAAGGAAAGTTGACGCCCTAAAACTATTATAAATATTACATCACTAAACACCGTTAATAAGAAAACACTTGATATTAGGTTAAAAACTTTTGCTGAACATATAACCGGTTGAAGTATTTGAATAATAGTTATTTAATTAGTTGTTAAATGTAAAATAGTAATTTAAAAATATTCAATTAATTATTGTCAAATATTAAATGTTAGGAGATAACATTTTATAGAACAGTCCTCTAAAAGTTATTGTAAATATTACGGTACTGAAAATATAAGAAAATATAATTTTTGTTTATCCGGCATAACAAAATATAATTAATAAAGATAAAGTTTTGACTCTAATCAAACGATCAATAATCAAATATTAGGTACTACATTAAATGCAGAATTTTTTTTTTTTTTTCCAGACTTATTTTTTGTTGCCTAGCAGGCCATAAGCAGACAGTGCAAAAGCAGCAGCGTGGGAGCGGGGGGTGTATTTACAAGGGCAACGAGCGGGTTATTCCCCAGCCATCCCATAAAACAGACTTAACAAGTAAGAACAATGATTCGATCAGGTGTCTATCAATAAAGAACATGAAATTTGAAAAAGAAAATGCAAGAAAAGATCGGTTGGAAAGCTATGTAGCGTATTCTTTTTCTGGTCCGTCATGGTCCTACTGCAAAGGACTTTTTCCTCTGTTGAATGGCTAGATGCGGCTTCCGCATCTGACTGACGTGCAAGCCAATAAATGTTAATAAAAAAAAGACCGAAGGCCCACAGCAACAGGAACATCAAGTTTGGAGGATGGGAGGTTGGAATACTCACATCCATATTTAAAGGCAAATAATGAAAGAGTTGAATGGATGGTCCACATGGATCATTTCCATTCTAGTTGTCATCTGCCTTCCTTTTTATTTATTTATTTCTTTCTTTCTTTCTTTAACCTTTGCAATGAGAATCACCTAACCATTATGTCTTTTACTTCTACAACATGCTTTCATGTGCCTCCGAGATGTATGGGTATTGTGTGAAGTGTACCAACACAAGAAACAATGCTTGCTAAAGGCTAAAGCTACACTATGCATCCTCTGTTCTGTTTCACTTCCAGTGCCACTATTCTCCTTTCACAAATCATACTCATCTATTCTAAAAGCCAAACAATTAATTTTCTAGAAACGATTCAAAAGTAAACCTAATACAGTCAAGTAAATTTTCAGTGAAGACTTTAGTCTAGTGATAAACTAATACAACCTAATACAAATGAAGCTAGTACAGTCGAATACCAATGAAGCAGTAAGAGACCTGAACATGGCAATGTAATGGATGCAAATGAGTATCTGACATCAGGTGGATGGATATACGGGATTTCTGCGTATAGCTTAAGCAATGGACCCACCTAACCGGGATCATGATGATGATGAAATAGTGTTTTTTTTTTTTTTTTAATTTTATGTTGGGGCTTTTATTGTGCCAAGTCAGCAGCCTAGGTGGAACGAGCAAAAAGTGGACGTTGAGTGGGGGCGGGAGGTGAGGGGGGTGGCTGGTGCTTTTTACTCCCAAGTTACCACCGCCTGCGCTTTCCTCTACTTTTGAATTTCTTTTCATTATTCTTTTCTGCTTTAATGTTCTGCAATCCAGCATTATACAATCCTTAGAGCATACTAACATTCTCCCTAGTACTTCTTCCTCTCTCTTTCCCACAAAGCATTCATGTCCTTCTCAACATTCTTATTCTGAATCTTGATGATCATATAGATTTTCAATATGGTGAGCTCCCAATGATCAAGTTCTGCTTTTCATTTTCTTACTGACTTGCGGTTCTATTTACGAGCTAAAATATTGGATCATTTTTCTTCTTTTTATTTGATGGTTCAGGGAACTCCAGTAAACATTATTGTTGGATCACATGTTTGGGCAGAAGATCCTGAGGATGCATGGATCGATGGTGAAGTGATAGAAATCAAAGGGAAAGATGCAATCGTCATCACCACAAATGGGAAAAGAGTAAGCTGCTGCCACTTCCTATTATGCACCTTCATGCAATCTAGTCTTCAGGAATTCATTTGCCACTTCAGATTTCAATATCATACTGACTGCGAACCATCTACTTTATAAGGCTTGTAATCAGGTTCTCCCTATAGTTAACATATTGGTAAACTAAATAAGCTTTTACAATTTAGGATCTAAAAGTGATTTTTTCCCTATAAGACATCCATCAGCTACACTGCCTACTTATTACAATAATATAAATTTTATACTGTCTCTGAAAAGCTAGTTGGTTGCACCACATCATATAATTCTATCCTATAGTTTAAGCACTTCAAATAGAATAACACACCCAGCAAAAAAAGAGAATATTATCATTGAAAGATACAAGTTATTAACTACAAAAGGAGAAAGCAATGACTAAAATTTTTTTATCATAGATTCCTGTATTCATAAAATTCAAGGTTTACATTGAACTGTAAGGAATAATTCAAGAACGATACATAGGTGACAAGCTAGAATTTGGACTGCATTTGTCCTTTCAAAAGTATAAGAAAGGCCGACCATAAGGGTATTAAGTTATTAACAATTGCTTTGGTAGAGATCGGTCAAACAATCAAGTTTATGCCAATCACAAGTCAGCTATTGTTAGTCATTTATTTCTTTCCTGATTTTACAGTAATAAGATATGAGAACTCATTAATGGTCTTCTTTATATTATATGGTCAAGAATTATGCTTAAAAGCCAGCCCTTAACATGAAAGTTGCATTTAACTTCAAAGTGTTGGCATCTAAGATCCAGACTAACATAAAAATCGTAAACTAAATTTTAGCTTTTTACCTCAACTCCAGATAGTCGCAGATATTTCCAGCATATATCCAAAGGACACAGAAGCACCACCTGCAGGAGTTGACGACATGACCAAATTGGCTTACCTGCATGAACCAGGAGTCTTACATAACCTTGCTTGCCGGTTTACTCTAAATGAGATATATGTGAGTCAACATTGATCTAATTGACATAATTGTAAACTTCATTAGTCCTCAAAGTTGACAACCATAAATACGGCAAAAGACCATTATACTGATAATCAGTCCTGAAATAAGCAGACTTACACTGGGAACATTCTGATAGCGGTGAATCCATTCCAAAGACTGCCGCATTTGTATGACATTCACATGATGGAGCAGTATAAAGGAGCTGCTTTTGGAGAGCTAAGTCCCCATCTTTTTGCTGTGGCAGACACTTGTTTCAGGTATGATCTATAACAGCACAAGACAAATAGTATTATCAACAAACTAAGTCATAATATAAAGCTGATATGAACATTTCATATACCAGAGCAATGATAAATGAACAGGAAAGCCAGTCAATTTTGGTAAGTGGGGAGAGCGGAGCTGGTAAAACAGAGACAACAAAGATGCTCATGAGATACCTTGCATTCATGGGGGGCAGATCAGGCACCGAAGGAAGAACTGTAGAACAACAAGTTTTGGAGGTAAGTCAGAAATATAACATCTTGTATATTAGATGATTCACTGATGGGATGCAAGAGTTATATTTCCACTTCTCCAGTCAAACCCAGTCTTGGAAGCATTTGGGAATGCTAAAACGGTGAAAAACAACAATTCCAGGTGAAATTTAGATGCCTGTTACTCTCCTTTCTTTTCCTCCCCAGAACAAATATCTGTTTCTAAACTGGTTTAATTTACAATTATAAATTGGGTGGCTATACCAGTCGTTTTGGCAAGTTCGTTGAGATACAATTTGATAAGCATGGAAAGATCTCTGGAGCTGCAGTTCGTACTTACCTTCTTGAAAGGTCGCGTGTTTGCCAGGTTTCTGACCCAGAAAGAAACTATCATTGTTTTTATATGCTTTGTGCAGCACCGCCGGAGGTGATTACATATATTTTTCTTCTGCTTCAACAAAGTTATACACAATAGTCATGGACTCAAGGGAAACCTAGCTGACTGATGTTCCCTATCAGGATGCTAAAAAATTCAAGTTAGGGGATCCAAGAACATTCCACTATTTAAACCAATCCAACTGTTATAAAGTGGCAAATGTCGACGATGCCAGAGAGTATTTAGAAACCAGAAATGCAATGGATATTTTAGGAATCAGCCAGGACGAGCAGGTTCTCATTTTTCGCATCTGTAAGCAAATTAATTTATAGATTTCCTTTAGACAAATAGATAATTGACATAACTGGAGGTTGGTTTCCCTTTTGTAGGATGCCATATTCCGTGTAGTAGCAGCAATCCTCCATCTTGGAAATATTGACTTCATTAAAGGGAAAGAAGTTGATTCTTCCAAACTCAAGGATGAGAAAGCACGCTACCATCTTCAAACTGCAGCAGAGTTACTAATGTCAGAATTTTTTACCCATTCCACCAAAATAAGACATTCTTGCTAACCAGTACTTGCTACAGTTCTCTCCTAAATGTTTCAAAATATGCTGTTAGGTGCGAAGAGAAGGCACTGGAAGACTCACTTTGCAAGCGTGTCATAGTGACTCCTGATGGAAACATTACAAAACCTCTGGACCCAGATTCAGCTGCCTTGAGCCGTGATGCCTTAGCTAAGACTGTTTACTCCAGGCTGTTTGATTGGTAAGAAAATCAAACTCACTCAACAAATTTGACATGTATATATTTAGTAACAGCATGTAGCAATCTCTGTAAGTATTACATAATAATGCACCTCGGCAACATTTTGAGCAGAGTTGATGTTGCCTTGGCAACATAATTCGGTCCAATAAGTCACAAGGCCATCTAGAGGACAGTACTCAAAAATTGGTTCGGTTTGAATAACATCTTTGAAACCAATTGTTATCTAAGTTAACAATAGACCTTGAGGAATCCTTGACTATTTGCAGGATTGTGGATAAGATTAACAGTTCAATTGGTCAAGATCCCAGTGCGACAAGTATAATTGGAGTCCTTGATATTTATGGCTTTGAAAGCTTCAAGATTAACAGGTACTGCAGGAAACCATACATATTTCCAATGAATTTAAAATTTTAACGGAATTATCTAATATTCAGCATTTGGTAGTTTTGAGCAGCTATGCATCAACCTAACAAATGAGAAGTTGCAACAGCATTTTAACCAGGTAGAGATGAAATTCAGTGCATAACTTTAAAGCACACATAACTGTTCTAATGCTCACATGGATCTTTATCCACAGCATGTATTTAAGATGGAGCAAGAAGAATATACAAGGGAGGAAATAAATTGGAGTTATGTCGAGTTTGTAGATAACCAGGATGTTCTGGATCTGATTGAAAAGGTATTTGGTTAAAGCAATATCAAGCTAATGCATCATGTTCACAGTATACCGTAAGAATTGACCTTATTTCCTTGCTTGCAGAAACCTGGGGGTATAATAGCCCTTCTTGATGAGGCCTGGTATGTGGTTTTCCTACTTGTAACATTGTGTAGCCTCTCATATTCCTGGTGCATGCACACAAAGATACACTTGATGTAAAAGGGTTAACCTTCTAAATAATTTCAAGTCTTTGCATGGCAGAGTTCTACATGATAAGTCTAGCAATAAAATGTCTAGATCCCAAAATTTCCATTCACATGAATCCTGCACTATCTAACTTCAGTAATGGACAATAAGGAGGATGGAAGCGGAGTTAGAAGTAATACATCTTCCTAAAATCATTTGGATATAAGCATGAGATTCTTTCTAATGCAGCATGTTTCCCAAGTCAACTCATGAGACATTTGCACAAAAGATGTACCAGACATACAAAGGACACAAACGATTTAGCAAGCCAAAACTTGCCCGAACAGACTTCACAATCAATCACTATGCTGGAGATGTAAGCTATAATTTGAAATGTTTTAGATCGTCCAGCTGAACAATTTAATTTGTTGGTTTCTCATCACTGAGCTATTTTGTAAACAGGTCACATACCAAGCTGACCAATTTCTTGATAAAAATAAGGATTATGTTGTAGCAGAACATCAAGCCTTATTAAATGCTTCCAAGTGCCCTTTTGTTGCTAATCTTTTCCCTCCATTACCTGAAGAGACATCAAAGCAATCCAAGTTCTCTTCCATTGGTACCCGATTCAAGGTAAGCTTTATCCCTGTATCATTAGCAGCATTCAATATAATACATTTCTGAATCATTGGCTCACTCCTGGCTCAAAATTTAACATCTAGCAACAATTACAATCTCTAATGGAGACACTGAACACAACAGAGCCACATTATATCAGATGTGTAAAGCCAAATACAATTTTAAAGCCTGGAATCTTTGAGAACTTCAATGTGTTAAACCAATTAAGATGTGGGGTAAGATAAAATTTTACTGTACCTTGTTGAGTACATGGTGCTTTGAGTTCTGTTTTTCTGTAGGTGGAATAAAACTTTTCAAACTACCAATATTGAAAACAATTATACCAATGGCAGGGTGTACTGGAGGCTATTAGAATAAGTTGTGCAGGATATCCGACAAAAAGAACATTTGATGAGTTTCTTGATCGTTTTGGAATGCTTGCTCCTGATGTTCTAGAAGGGTATGCATTCTAGTAAAACTCTAGCATTCCTTACACTAGCTTTTCATTATACATTAACGACTTTGTGGGACAGCATGGAAATAGACACCTCAAAGTCAAGGCTGGAAACATTGCCCAGTTATATACGTGATTTTGATACAAATCTATCTTTTATCTAACATATGATACAGCTAATCCACAATGTTCTGCATAAGCAGAAGCAACTTTGGCTGCATGTTTTACAACTCTACTATTATTTATCATTTGGGCAGGTGTGATGAGAAATCTGCGTGCATCGCCATCTTGGAGAGGATGGGTTTAAAGGGTTATCAGGTATTTTAGTGAGAAAAATTAAAAGGTATAACTTCTGAAAAATTACTTTACATATTATGCTAACACCATGAATGCATGATTCAGATAGGGAAAACTAAGGTATTCCTTAGAGCTGGGCAGATGGCTGAGTTAGACGCAAGAAGAACTGAAGTATTGGCTAACTCTGTAAGACGAATCCAGAGACAAATCCGGACACATCTAACCAGAAAAGAGTTCATTGCCCTACGGAGTGCTTCAATAAATATGCAGAAACACTGGAGAGGTTACCCAAATTTTCCTGAAATAAATTTTATCTTGCATCATGATATTAAATTCACACAGACCAGCCAATCCAATATTGTTGTAAGAGAATAAAATAACATAGAATTATAGACAAGGGACATAATCTATATACTGTAGGGGAGCCCATCTATTTATAGGACAAGGGAATCATTTATAGACAAAATGGAAGAAGTCTAAGATAGCTTGTACATCCAAAAACTTATGCACAATAATATAAAAATTTAAGTTTCAATTTTCAAACTGTGTTTTAGGGCCAAGAGAGAACTTCTCCGCTAAAATCACTTGTATTCCTAGCCATTGCCAAAACCCCATACTGGATAACATAATAATTGTCTTTGAGTCGGACACGTAGAAACCCATCAAGGCAGACAAATGCTTTCACTTGTTTCAGAATTCCATACATTATAATTTTTTTGAAATTGCTATTAATATATGTTAGAATTTAATGAATTTGGTTTGCATCAATTTTATTTCTATAAACGAATCTGGTTTCATGGCCATACCAGACGTGAGTCAATCTAAATTCAAGCCACACCAGTATTTTAAGTCATTGGCCAGCAATAAAGAACTGACTATTTCCTTAACCTTGCTTCTTACACAGCACAACTTGCACGTAAGCAATATGAACAAATGAGAGAAGAAGCAGCCTCTATCCGGATACAAAAAAATATCCGTGCTCATACAGCAAGAAAATTTTACAAAAACTTACAGACATCAGCATTATATATTCAAACTGGATTACGAGCAATGGCAGCACATGATCAATATAGATACAGAAGGAGGACAAAGGCTGCAACTACAATTCAGGTAAAAAGACTTTCTGGCTATCCGCTATCCTACGGAAAATCATTTAGATGAACAATTCGACTGATGTTTCTGAAATATAACAGACACAATGGAGAAGGTTTAAAGCTCTTTCTGCTTATAACCAGCAACAGAAAGCAACTCTTACACTTCAATGTCTTTGGAGAGCAAAGGTAGCAAGGAAGGAGCTTAGAAAGCTGAGAATGGTGGGTTGATTTATAATCAGCAGCTTTTTACTTGCACTTCTCAATCCCTATCAATTCTTGTCATTAAGCAATTTCATTAGAGAAGCATTATAATCAATTAAATGACCACATCAAAGTTCATGAATACAATGTTCCAGGCTGCAAGAGAAACAGGGGCACTTAAAGAAGCTAAGGACAAACTAGAGAAGCGTGTTGAAGAGCTAACATGGAGACTGGAATTTGAGAAGCACTTGAGGGTAAATTGCATATCAAATTCTTTGAAGAATTTAAAATCAAATTTATTAAAAAAACACCAAATATCTTTTAGCCAATGTAAATGACTTATAACCAAGAGTTTAGAACAATTATCAGTTATACACAAAACATTTCATCTATATACACTACCAAGTTCAATATCAATCCTTATATATGCTGGTGTCCATTTATGTTATCTAGAATTCCTGTAGAAAAACGCTGAAAATAAGTATGTCTCAAATTACTTGGATGACTGGCATTCCAGAATCCTAATCAGCAAAAACTCTTTAAACCAGTTCCATTATGTTCACTATGCTGGTTTCACTTATGCCTTTCAGATTAAATTTTGGTATAGATTGATCTCGAAGAAGCTAAAGGGCAAGAAATCTCAAAGTTACAAAATCAATTGCATGACATAGAAGGACAGCTGGATGAAGCCTATGCTGCAATCATCCAGGAGAAGGAAGCAGCAAAGTCAGCTATAGAACAAGCCCCACCAGTCATCAAAGAGGTGCCAGTTGTGGATGACACCAAATTACAGTTTCTTAGGGATCAAAATGAGGAACTCGAGGTAACATCTAACACATTCAGCATCATAACATTATATATATTTTCATATCAATTTGCAGTGTTGCAACATATTGACTTACATTTCAATACAAATGTATCCATGGTACTTGATGCATGATGACAAGAAACTGAGCTACTCAATGATATAATTTATAGACTGCAATAAAAGCAGCGCAAAAAGTTTATTTTTCTCTAGTTTTTTGTTATATTATTATTTCCATATATGTACCTGAAAAAGGAGTATCAAAACGAAAGTCATTTAACTCCGGAAAGGGGTTTTTTTTTTTGTCAAAAAACGAAAGTCATTTAAACTCCAGGAAAGGTTTTTTTTTTTGGGGGGGGGGGGGGGGGGGGGTTGAGGGAGAGGGAGGGAGTTGAAGAGTGTTCCCAATTCTTAAGCTAAATGTTCAACTGCCGGGGTGAGGGGGAGAGGGAGGGAGTTGAAGAGTGTTCCCAATCTTAAGCTAAATGTTCAACTGCCATAAGCATAACCTTTCAATTTTAGCAATTTGATTACTGATTTAATTTTTGATGGAATGTTACAATGTGTGTTTTATTACACTTTCATTATTTGGCTTCGGTTAAATGTTCTCAATTGCCTTACTAACTTCCATGTGAGCAGTGAATTTTATCAGAAAGAGAGAGAGAGAGAGAACGAACTGGAAAAGCCAACACCAGTTCTAGAAATTTCCATAAAATCCACAACAGAACCCACATTAATTCGACTCAGCCAACCCATTCAGACATTCTTTGATATAAAATCAACTCTGAAGCAATTGATTCTACCTATCACACTAAGCAAACCATGAGAACAATCAGTTCCAAACCCAATGCAACATCAGCTAATACAACTGATGAGGGGAATGAATCATCCAAAGGGAATATTAAAGAAAAGAAAGCCAGGCAAAAGCAATGCACCCAAGCAGAATAGGCACACAAACACGAATATGTACGTGAGAATTTTTATATTTAGATCTAATGTGTCTCAAATATTAGGATAAGATAAGAGAGATGGAGGAGAAAATGGAGGAATTTGAGGACAAGTGCAATAAACTGGAAAAAGAAAGCAATGTGAGACTAAGAGAAGCAGAGGAAGCACAGCTGAAAACAATCCAACTCCAAGAGACCATCGAAAGGTATTTTTTTGTAGAATTTTCACACAAGCGCTTCAATGACCATCAACTTTGGTTAACTAACAAATTTTTGTGGTTTTCAGATTAGAAATAAACTTGTCCAACCTCGAATCTGAGAATCAGGTTCTACGCCAGCAGGCTCTGGTTGCATCAACAAATGAGGACCTCAGTGAAGAACTAGAAACGTAAGAATTGGGAATATGATTGAACCTTTTATACTTTTCTTTTGCTTTGACTTTTATGGTGGTACAAATGAAGTTTCACCCCTTTTTCTATCCTCTGAGAGTGCAACAATTTAGGAACAAGTAAAATTTCATAACAAAATCCATCAAATGATGACATGCTTCTAGAGGCAGAATCAAATAAAAAATCTTTTGACTGTGAGTGTGTTGGACAAACATGGAAGGTTCTAAAATTGAAGGGATAATTTGAGAAGGTTTAGAGTAACTGTTTACTTCACAACTATTCAAAACTAGGAAATGGTTACTATTTCTTACAGTTCCTCATTGGACTTGCTCAAAGTAAACTGCCATGGAACTCTTATCAATTTTTACTACTACTACACAATGGCTGATTCAGCAAGTTTCCAAGGACAACAGCTGGGTCATTATTCAATTTTTTTTTTTTTTTTAATAACATGCACATGTGCAAGAAAAAGAAATTTTGTTAAAGAAGGAAGAAAAGATATTATAGTTATAGGCCTAACAAACACAGAAATACAAAGAACAAAGAAATGAAAATTCTGAAATAGTATTAACCTCCAATCCTGGTGAACAATACTTGATGACGCTTTTGTAATCAAATCTCAATTAAATTAACTCCTAATTCATTTCCTAACCTAGCCCTGCTTCTACCTTATCCATATCCTGAAACCCCAATTTCACCACACCCTAACCGTACACAGAGATGCAGATAAGCAGATTGCAGATCTGTCCTATATTGCTTATACATGACTGGAAAATGAATTCAGTTTTTTAAGGTTAAAAATGGAGATTATTGCCACAATAAAGCAACTTCATTTCCTCAATTATAGTACAGCATAATATAATGAGCTAGTTAATGTTATGACCTGGGAGAACCACACCTCAAAAGCTAGCCGTTGAGGTTGGAGAGCCCAAATTCAGATAAACTCTATATTAAAATCCCGTGCTTCCAATATGGGAGTCAAGACAAGTCCTGTACCTTGTCTTGCAACTAGGGTCCTAACATCATTACATTTTCAATTGGCAATTAATTTTTTGGAACAAGCTAGAAGCTCAGAGATGAAACTATTCGTCCTCAGAAAATTTGACAGTTAAATAACTTATGTACAGCCTCAAACATAAGATAAAGGATCTGGAATCGGAGAATGAGTTGCTCCGCAAACGACCAGCTGTTCTAGAGCAGATAGTGACACCCGAAAGGATTTTGTCTCAAGTCAAGGTATGCATCTCTACAAAGTTATATCAATTGGGTAGTTAAGTCATAATTTGGCATTAACCCTCCATGATGATGCAGAATTTCAACAATGGACACCAAATAGAAGAAGAGCCTCAAACGGCAAAAGTACTGCCATCCTCATTCAGTACACATTTTCACGATTTGAATACAAACTGTCATGTACTATTCTTAGATATAATGGGCAAATATTGTTTCCAGGGGCCAGAACCTCTTGTCTCATGTACTATTCTTAGATCTAATGGGTGAATTTTGTTTCCAGGAGCCAGAACCTGTTGTCTCCCACTTAACTAAACAAAGATCGCTAACAGACAGGCAGCAGGTGATCATCATCTGAAAGCTAATTTCTCGCAAATACCAATTAAATTGATAATTATACTACTGTTTATTTGTGCAGTCACTAAAATACAATCTATTATTTTCTAACCTATAACAGGAAAATCATGATGCACTTATCAAATGTCTAGTGGAAGAGAAGCAGTTTGATAAGAACAGACCTGTTGCTGCCTGTGTTGTGTACAAGGCACTTCTTCAGTGGAGATCTTTTGAAGCAGAGAAGACAAATATATTTGATAGGATTATTCACACAATTAGATCCTGTGTAGAGGTACCCACTTTCAATCAATATAACAGTATTCATCATAGATTAAGACTAATATAAGTGCAATATCTGCAATCATAAAATACTACTGTACCAGCTTCTTGAGAGCTCTTTCATGTTCATATGTTAAGTTAAATAATGAGTTTGAACTTATTAACAACCTAAATTGGAACAACTTCAATCTTGGCTCATTTGAGTTCATTAATAGGCTTGCTTAAAAGCTTTGTAATTAACTCAATGAGTAGCTCACCCTAAGCTTGTTATTAATTTTACAGCTACAAAGAATTTGTGGCATCGGTCACAGTAAAAGGAGGGGGCCAATAGGAGGCAGCCCCTTTTCTTTTTCATGTTTTAGGCCTTTTAGTCTCAGTATATGGACCTGGTAGAAATTTTCTTGTTATAGTTTTGCTATATATAATGAAATTTAAATCAATATTTTAATTTCAAAACAGTGAAAACATTTTTTTTTTAAAACACTGTTAAAAACATGATTTGAGCTTGAGCTAGCTGTTTCAATACAAAATCAAGCTAGACGATATAGATTAGGGCTCAGTTTTAGCCTATTAACAAATTTATAGAAGTGAGCCTGAACATGTGACAACTCAGCTTGGCTACATCTATTAAAGCTCCTAACTACAGTTGCATATCTCATTATTTGGTAGAACTAAAAAGATGTGATATTAATTTCCTGAGTTATGTTTTTGAAGAGCCAAGATGACATTGATAACCTAGCATACTGGCTCTCAACAACTTCTACTCTTTTGTATCTTCTCCAAAGTACACTTAAGGCAAACAACACACAGAATGCATCTGCACAGCGTAATCGAAATTCCCCGGCCACCTTATTTGGTAGAATGGCACAAGTAAGTTCTATTTATTGAATTCATTACTATATTTAATTCCATGTTCAAAATTATAATCCTCAAATGTGCAACATCAGGGATTCCGGCCATCTTCAATGGGCATAGGATTATCAAGCGGGTACAGTGGAATGGTAGGAAAACCAAAAGAGCAACTAAAAGTGGAAGCCAAGTATCCAGCACTTCTATTTAAGCAACATTTAACAGCATATGTTGAGAAGATATATGGGCTGATCCGTGATAGTGTCAAGAAAGAGATAAGTCCATTCTTGAATTTCTGCATACAGGTAGGCAAGTAGTATAAACAGAAACTTGTATCATGACCAAATGTCAGAAAGCAATATATTTTTTACTCGCTATAATTTTCTTAATTATCATGAACAGGCGCCAAGAGCAATGAGGGCTAGATCAATAAGAGGTTCATCTAAAAATATCCATTCAAATATCGTTGCAAGACAACAAGCATCAAACATACACTGGCAGAGCATAGTTAATAAGCTAGATATTACCTTGAGCATAATGTCAGAGAACAATGTAAGCATAAATCTACTCTTTAACAGCTTTCCCTGTTCTCATGTATCAAAAGATATTTTCCAATTTCATCATTCCACTAACTTTTGGCTATCTTCAGGTCCCTCCTGTATTCACCAGGAAAATTTTTAGTCAGGTCTTTTCATTCATAAATGTACAGCTTTTTAACAGGTAACAAGGTGATCAACTCCAATTTATCTTAACCATATAACTAAATCAACTTTTTTTTCAACTTAATTAATAATCTCCATATGAAAATTCTTGCCCTGGCAGCTTATTGCTTCGACGTGAGTGCTGCTCATTTAGCAATGGCGAATACGTAAAGGCAGGTTTGCAAGAATTGGACCAATGGTGCATCAAAGCATCAGATCAGGTAAGATTAAGACTAAAGTTGAACATAGATAAGCAAAGGACAAAGGAATGACAAGCCAAAAAGTTAATTGTTCCATTATTTAACAGTTTGCAGGAACATCATGGGGTGAACTCCAACACATAAGGCAAGCTGTAGGGTTTCTGGTACATTTTCTTCAACCTATATTACAGAAAACAACAAAATGCCCTTAAGTTCAATGTCAACAATCTTTTTAACAGATTATGGTTTATCCATACAGGTTTTGCATCAAAAAGCACAAAAATCTGTGGATGGGATCACAAATGAAATATGCCCGGTAAATGATCCAATGCTATTGGTTTCACAACAGAGGAAAAGTTAAATCACTCTTCGAGCCAACTTATACTCTACTGCGTTTACAACTTATCTATTTTATCTGTTCATAGATGCTGAGCATTCCGCAAATATATCGCATTGGGACTATGTTCTGGGATGATAAATATGGAACACAGGGATTATCTCCAGATGTAAGTTCTTTTTTTTCCCTTTTTTTTGCCGCAACCGTTGAGAGGGATGAAATGTCAACATGGAAAAAAAAAAAAAAAAAAATTAAGTCACATGGAAAAAAAAAAAAAAAAAAAAATCAGTTACGAAACACAGAGAATCTGAGCGAGAGAAACAATTCTACTTGCCAACTTGGAAAAAAAAAAAAAAAAAAAAATTCAGTACGAAACACAGATAATCTGAGCGAGAGAAACAATTTCTACTTGCCAACTTTCGTTGTTGGTCCTGAAAGATAAATTCATAGACAAGGGATAGTTGATAGGAGGTGGAAATAATTAAAATTAAGTTAAAAAGTTTGCATTTCAGTAGATTTTGAAGATTATCAGTCGATTTAGTTTTGGAACAACAGGTGATTGGCAGGATGAGAACACTGATGGCTGAAGATTCAATACACATGCCTAATAATTATTCTTTTTTGCTCGATGTTGATTCAAGGTAGGAATTACATACTGCACAATTTAATCTAAACACATTTCTTTCTCAGTGTTAAAAGTTGTAATCAAAGCATAAGCATTTCAAATATTGCAGCATACCATTTTCAACGGAAGAGATATTCCGGTCATTTGGTGCAATTAGCCTATCCGATGTGGAAGCTCCACCGCTGCTACGTCAAAGATCCGACTTCCATTTCCTACTGCAAACCGCAGATTCTCTTTAATTTACTCAAATGAGGTTATGAATGTGTTTCTCAGGGTGAAAGAAGAGAGAATACGAGTGGCGAGTGGAGTGAGTGTTTGTTCTGTTTTGTTTTGTTTTGTTTGACTATTATTATTATTATTTATTTATTTATTTATTTAATCCTTTATTATTATTTTTTTGAGTAAAAAAATGATTTATTATTATTATTATTATTTTGTTTTAAGTTAATTTCTTTAGGGACATATGAAATTGCATATATCCTTCATTAAAAAGTTGATTTGGCTCTTGTGATTCAATCTTCAACATAAATCAGTGAAAATCAATTACTTTCTTTAAAAAGATTTGATTGCTTGGTAAATGAAAATAAATATATATCTAATTTAGGAAATAGATATAAATAAAAAATAATTTGAGAGAGACAATTGATTTAAAAAAAAAAAAAAAAAAAGGCATTCCAATATAAGATTTTGATGTGCTATTGTTATATATAAAGAGATTAACCAACAAAAAATAGAAAAGTAGAAACCCAACCACAAAGCTAACATACTACTGATAGAAACAAAAATAAAACAATAAAAAATAAAAAACTACACAAGAGCACTTTGTGCGGACAACCATAGAATTTTATCAAATTGCAACAACTTCATGTCTTAATTTGACTAGTCTTCGTGTATTTGCCAGTCAAAGCTCTCTATTATAGCTTTCAGTTTAAATTCTTGTATACAGAATACGTATAAATACATGATTCGGGTAGATTGTAATCGTGCTTGGAGTTGGTAGTAAAAATAAAGATGAATAATAATCAAACCAAAGGATTAAGCGACGGAGAATACATAGTACTTCGGGGAGCTGGAAATACGATAACGGCATGTTACTACGAAAAAGTAACAAACGACAAGGCGTTTTGGAAAAGTGAATATTCATTGATCAATTCTCTTCCTTACTTTGTCATACAATTGAGTCTTATGATGTTGTGCATTCGTCTTTTGTTCATTGTCCTCAAACCTCTTCGCCAGCCACGTTTCTTGGCAGAGCTTTTGGTGAGTATATTTGTAATAAAATCTCTCTGTTTTTGTTTTTTTGAATTTAACCCATCTTTGGTTATTACATTACAACGCAGAGTGGCGTTTTGCTAGGCCAAACTTTCACCGCGGTCAGTCCATTTTCTAATCGATACATACATCCGGCCAAGTCCACCACGACGTTAGACACCATGGGCCAATTAGGTTTGGTTTACTATATGTTCCTTGTGGGCTTAGAAATTGACATAACTACGTTGAGATGCATTGAGAGAAAGGCCATGTGCAATGCAGCGATCACTATTCTGTTTCCTCTCTTTTCTGGGATAGGATTATATTACTTCATTATGCATTTCAAAGATGCGAAATTGATGGGTATGGGCGGTGCTGTGTGGGCCATTACCCTCACTGTCACGAGCTTTTCTGATCTTGCTCGAGTCCTTTCAGACATGAAGCTACTACATACGGATATCGGAAGATTGGCCTTATCGTCAGCTATTCTTTGTGACCTTGTAGCTTGGTCTCTTTTGGTGGCCACAATAACAATGGCTAACCAACATTTTTATTACTTGAATGTATTTACAATGATTGCATTTGCGGTTTTATGTTGGTTTGTGGTGCGGCCTGGCATTTCCTGGATTATTCGTCTCAATAACTCATCCAATGGAGGCATCGATTACGAGCTGCTTACATATTTTATTCTTGGAGGTGTAGTCGTCTTCGGATTCATTACAGATGCTTGCGGCTCTCAGTCCATGATAGGAGCTTTCTTGTTCGGACTTGTTATACCCAAAGGAGATCTTACAACAAAGCTCATAGAGAAACTTGAAGACTTTGTCACTGGGATTATGCTTCCAGCCTTCTTCTGGACCAACGGGCTTAAGACCGATCTATTTGATATGACTGGTAGTGTTAATCCATTGATTGTCATCACAGTCGTAATTTTGGCTTGCTTGACGAAAATTGTAGGCGCCTTCATCTTCTCAATGACTCAGGGCATGTCTACTCGGGAAGGAATCCTTCTTGGGGTCCTTATGAACACCAAAGGCGTTTTGGCTTTAATTGTTATGAACTCTGGGAGAGATTTGCGGGTATGCATTTAATTTTCATCTTCCTCTCTCTCTCTCTCTCTCTCTCTCTCTCTCTCTCTCTTTTTGCATATCAAAATTAAGTTCCATTTCTTTTCTAAAATCTTATAAATTGTACATATAGGGCTTTGACCAACAACTGTTTGCCATTATGACCATGTCCTTGATCCTAATAACTTTGATGGTGAAGCCTATTGCCATGGCTGCCATTAAGTCCACAAAGCATGTCAGACCGTTCAAACGCAGGACCATTGAGCGAAGCAAAAATGACTCTGAACTACGAATTCTTTCTTGCATTCATTCGACTAGCAATTTATCAGGAATGATTAATCTTCTTCAATACTCTAATCCTACAAAGCAATCTCCCATCTGCATTTTCGCTCTCCATTTGCTTCAACTGACAGAAAGACGTGTTACTGCAATGCTAATTGTCCATGACGCTTACAATCATGTTACTGCTGCCACCGGCCAAGGGAGCAAAAACCAGGAGGTACAAGAGTCAGAACACATCATCAATGCCTTCCACACCTTTGAAAGCAAATTCACAGCGATCTCAATTCAGGCACTAACGGTCGTATCTCCATACAGCTCCATGCATGAAGATGTGAGTAGACTAGCAGAGGACAAGAGAGTCAATCTCATCTTGGTTCCATTTCATAAGCAACCAGATATTTATGGCAAACTTCAGGATGAGGAGGACGTTTCATTGAGAGCCGTCAATAGAAACCTCCTAGCAACGGCTCCTTGCTCTATTGGAATACTCATCGATAGGGGTCTTGGCGAATTCCAAACACAGACCCACTTCATCATGGCCTTTCTTGGCGGGGCAGACAGTCGTGAGGCCTTAGCTTTTGCGTGGAGGATGGCAGGAACCATGGGAGTGATGCTTACAGTTGCGCGTTTTGTTCCTACTACAGCAGTAGTGAATGAGGAAAAAGAGGCTTTAACCGAGCTGGATATAGAGAAAAAGCTAGATGATGATTATGTTAATGACTTCAGGTACAAGACGATGTACGATGACTCCATAATATACACAGAAGTACCAGTGAGCTCTGCGGATGAAATAATCACAACAATGAGAAGAATGCATAATGGTTGTGAGTTGTACATAGTAGGACGAGGGCAAGGAGCTGCAACACAATTGACAATGGGGCTATTAGAATGGAGTGACTGTGAGGAGCTGGGAGCCTTAGGTGACACTCTACTTTCATCAGACTTTTCAGAGAATTCATCCATCCTTGTAATCCAACAACACTGTATTCCAGCTACCAGAGAGGGAGGAGTTAAGAATGCACATGTCCATCACAAGTTCCACCATTATAACAACTAAATGACTTGACACTAACATGTAGCTAGCGTAACGTCCCTTCAAGTTTCATTATTGAATTATTTCCTATGTATTTTCCTGCATTTGGAAAAAAAATTAAAAGGACTGGATTTTGGTTTTAACTTTAGCTTGGTTCCATGTGACATTCACTTGTCAAGCATATTGTTAGGAACTTACATAATCGCTATCCCTGACTAGTTATTTGGTTACTAGCTAGGAAGGACAGATACAATTCATAAACTTGATTATAAGGCTTCACATACTCCTCGCAAAACTTCCATATACTCTAATTTTCATATATTCCAAACAACAATAAAATTCTCAAGTCCAGGAATCCTTAGAACAAAATCAGAACCCTGTACAAGATTGGAGGCAAGAAGGATGCAATTACCATTTTGAATTGCATATTACACATATAAAATCATTAAAAATTTTGACAAGCAATGTATAGTTTCTTTCGGTTTAGAACTTGTTAGTTACATTTAAAGAATTGGATGGACATGTATGAATCCATAACTATTTTATTGAGCCTTGGAAATTCAAAACTTTTCTTAGGTTTTTGAAAAAAAAAAAAAAAAAGAATGATAATTTCTGAGAAATCAAAACCAATCAAGGCAGTGTTGATGAAGAAAGAGAGAGAGATGAAAAATGAGGATATTACACATTTATCACGCTCATATACCAACTAATCAAAGTAAGTGTGACCACTTAACTAACATAAACATCTCCTAGCTTATAGAATACTGGTAGAGTGGACATATCATAGCATTATACTTTTAGCCTTATGAGTTTCAACTGAGACGGCACGTTTTTCTTTTTCTATGAAAAATTACAATTTAATTCATTAATTATCAAAACATTCCCCCACGCTCAAGTTACCCATTGCCCAACTATAATCCACTGACCTCCTTCTTCAATCCTATATTCGCCTCCAATCAGCTAACTAAAAAACAACCCATTGATAGTCGGTATCTTAACTCTTAATTTGTTTGTTTCTTTTCTTCCTTCTTTCTTTATCCCTCCCTCCCTCCCTCCCTCCCTCTGCATGCGTAGTACTGTTATACATACCTATAATATGCAGAGAACGAGAGCCTGTGAGAGCCACAATAAAGATAATTAATTAAAGAAGCTAGTCAAGAAAAAAGAGAAAATCAAAGGTAAGAACCTAATCATTCCATCTTTTTCTAATTAAACTGAAATGTTTTAGTTATACACGTCGTCTGGTTCTTGATCGTGCTTTTCTCTTTACAACACTTGCTCAGATTGGTAGTATCTATAGGGAAGTTGCAGAAGAGAACTGGTTGTTGTAACAAGAACTTGTTTTGGCTACGAATCCAAAAGGCTCAGGAACACTGCATCGGAATATAATTAAGGAGTGAATTGGCGTTTACCAAGAACAAGTACGTACATGAAACAGTCAATTACTTAACCCTTTTTCAAATACTTTTGACTGTATGTTTCTCTTCTATCAAAGTATATATATGTATGTCTGTGTCGTTTTGGAGTAATCTTCCTCCTCCGTATGCCATGTGGATGTGGTGCAAAATTTACATTAGGTTGCTGTCAGGATCATGATTCCACTAACATAGTATAATTTAAATAGATTAATTAATATCCAAATGACTAATTTTAGTGCATTATTTTTCTCCCTCATTGATTTAATTACAAAGTGAATATTTACATTTATTATAGACAAATATTTTCCATAAAATAATGATTCATTAATGAAAATAAATAGTAATACTCAATTAATAGAAATTTAATTTGATTTAATTTGAATTTTTTTCCATTTTGATTCAATTTGGTTGATTTGGACTTCACAAAAATCCGTATACTACTTAATGACTCATACAAAATACTAAATAGTTAACCTAAATCTATTTGACAGCGACTCTAATTACCAACTTATAATTGATATAAGTTTCAATTAGTTATAGATTCTATTAATTATCATTTTAAAAAATTCTTCCTATCAAATTTTAGTTTATTTGTATTTATATTATATTCAGACTATATTAATTTTATAAAAATAATTATTAATAAAATTATTGACAGTTATTACAAGCTAAATAATAATTAATAAATTATATTTAGACTATATAATTAAATTTTATAGATAACTAAGCATTTATAGTTATCATCCACTAATTGGTAATTAAATAGCTGAGCAATTTCGGTAGGCTAAATAATATATTCATCTTAAAAAAAATAAAAAATATGTATATAAGTACATGATAATAATATAAAAACAACTATACCTCATTTAATATTTTAACAATTATTATTTTTATTATCATTAAAAATTTAAAAATATCCAGCATATATCAGAGAGACCCTAAATTTGTTGGAGAGTGGTATTTCATATTGACCAATAATTAATAGTATGAAAAGGTATATATAATTGTCCTATCCATTCTCCAAAAAGGAAAAAATAAAAAAAAAATAAAAAAAACTTTGGTCCTATCAAAGAGAATAATATAGAAGAAACCCGCATAAAGAATAGAATTGGAAAATAACGTTTTGGTCAAAAGCTGCCTATTTATGTGAAGTTTGTTAAATCGCGGGAAATCTGAATAAAGGTTGCGGATGATAGCTTCTCTCCATATATACGCATATACTCTCTATCTCGCAAATTATATCTCATCTCTCCACAAAAAAATTGGACAGTGGACAGGGAGAAAGGAGGCAATACTCCGGTAATACTCAAAATCCAATCACTCTTTTCGCTTGCACGATAAATTTTTATACGAAGGATTATTTTATATATGCACCCTAGCTAGGCCTGCATTTATATATCGGGCTTGCACGAATAAAATTTTTATACGAAGGATTATTTTATATATGCACCCTACTAGGCCGCATTTATATATATTATATATATTATATATGTATATATAATTTATATAGTAATATATATTATATATATATATATTATATATTATATATTTGTATATGGATGGGAGATACGAGAGTGGATCATTTCAGGCCGGCAGCATGCCACAGCATATATTTGTATATGGAGGGAGATACGAGAGTGGATCATTTCAGGCCGGCAGCATGCACAGCAGAGAGACAAAAACATATCTCTCTCGGGGATTGTTATGCTCTGAGTAAATAATTGTTTTTGACAATGAACGATGTTTTGAATATTGTTTGATCGATATATATATATATACATATTAGTCGATCAGAGAACAGTGCCTGAAAAGAAGAGCGGTTTTGTTTCTTGCTGTTCTTTTAAATTTTTGCAATGCATATATATAGGTATATACATGTGTGTGTGTGTGTTTGAATTAGTTTTGTTCAAGAACAGAATTAGAAAGAGAATCGGAAGCATCGACAACCATGCACAAAGGAGGAGAAGTGAGGCGTCTTCACATCATTTACTTCCTTAGTCGTCTTGGCCGCATCGAGCAACCTCATCTCATAAGGGTTCACCATCTCTATCGAAACGGCGTTTATCTCCGAGGTTAATTCCATTCTGCTTTCTTAATTTCAAACTTTTATTTATTTCCTTTTCATGAGACTGATAACATTTTGCTTATTTAAAATTAAAGATGTGAAGAGATGGATGGCTGATCTGCGAGGAAAAGACATGCCAGAATCATTTTCTTGGTCTTACAAGAGGTTGGTGGGTCGCTAAATGTGGGCTGATTGAGCAGTTCAGATTTCCGTTTTTAATTACTAGTAATAATTTTTTGCATTAATGCAGGAAATACAAGAATGGTTACGTTTGGCAAGATTTACTGGATGATGATCTCATTACCCCAATCTCCGACAATGAATACGTTCTCAAAGGATCTGAAATTTTTCCTGCCATTTCTTTTGGTAAGTAAGGTAATATTTTTTATTTGATTTGATTTCCATGCACCACTAAAAGAAAAAGTTGCCATATAATAAAACCAAATATGTGGATAAAACAGATGATGACAAGAAAGTTTCCATGCTAAAAAATGACAAGAATGTCCAAGTTGGGAATCAAATTGACGACAATCAGCTGCAAGAGAAACAAGAATCCCCAGATCCTAGTAGAATCCGTATCCCTACGAAAGCGCCGTCTGAAAATTATGAAGGACCACCCATATTCATATTCAGTTCAGAGGAGTCCACATCAAGTGATGATTTAATTACTAAGCAAGAACAAGATGAAAGCAAACAAGGAATGGACAATTTTGAGTCTCTTTCGTCATCTTGCTTTCGTTCTAACCCGCTACTGGGTGAAAGGAATAAGAAGAACAAGAAGACGAACATCAAAGAGTACAATGACAGCAGCAGTAGCATTGAAAAGATGGACAGCTTAAGTTCACCATTCTCACTTTCACCGCAATCACAGTTTGCAAAGAGTAAGAGCCATTCAACTGGAGCTTCCAAAATGCTTCGAAGCTTGATGACTTGTGGTGCTGTGGACACAAAAGATGCTGCTCTGGTTGCAATTAATGTATATTCTCCTTCCTTGAATAAAGCTGACATTTGCTCTACCAGAGTTCTCGGTACTTCGTGGAGTCAGCAACAACAATACAATTCTCGGTACAACAAATAATTAATTACAGAAATATTAATGTTTCAAGCATTGCCTTACATGTAACAGTAACTAACTTGATTTAAGTAATTAACAGGAGAAGTTCTGATGGAGCTAAGAACTCAGAGAAAAAGCAGCAAAGCAGATTTAGTAATCCAAAAGAAGTTCCTGCTGCTTACAAGCCAGTCGGTGCACCCACCTGCTCGTAAGTCCAATTAATGTCACTTCTCATCTTCAGTTTTTAAATTCTTTTACTGAATTTTATAGATAAAATATAGTTCTAAGACCGCACAAATATAATCTCGATGAAATATATCCAAAAAAGAAATGCTGTTCAGTTTTAAAGTTACATAATTCCTCTGATCCTTCTCGAAATCTGATTAAGATTCACATTACCGAATCAAATTCTTTCTACTAAGATGATCATGTCACATTCTCTGTAAAATTCATAACCATTGCAAGGCAAAAATATAGGCAATGTGGAAAGTCGTTCAAGCCAGAGAAATTGTACACACACATGAAGGCCTGTAAAGGAATGAAAACGTCTGCAAAAACTGCTGCAGCTTCAGTCAGGAACCCACCACCGCCTTCGGGGAATTCAATGAATCATCTAATGGCTATTTCCTGACCAACTGACTTTTGAATATCAATAGGTGATTTCCATTATAGTGTGGGAAAATATGTATTTCATAGCTTACCGGTAAAATTAGAGTACAGGGACACGTTATCAAATTCTTTAGAGAACAGGAAATAACATGCTCCTACATTTGCTTCAAAAGTAATATCTTTTAGAAGGTTAAAAGCTCATTATCACATATTAACTTCACTTGAGGGTAACCTCTTTCTGGAAAATCGACTTTTCAAGGATGGCTGGAATTCACTTCACCTGGTAACATATGCCTGCACAGAAAACAAACCTACAGCACTGGAAATTTTGAACATCGACAGATTTTGGATTTCGAGCTCATTTATAAGTTACACTTCACAACTGTCTATAGTCAACAAGAAAAAACTGAAAGAAATATGTTTCCAAAAGGAGAACCTGTCATGATATCATCAAAGAAATCAGGTAAATTTGGAGAACAAAGAAATAATACAAGTTGAAGCCAGTGCCATCTTCCTCGCTGTCAGGGGGGATAGGTCGATAATGGTTAAAAATTTGGAAATGTTAAAAAGAACACTCATTTTATGAATTTTGGTTATCGGAAAAAAACCTTGCAGTTAACCATAAAATACCCAATGCCAAAGGGAAACAGAAACTAATCAGCTCCTGGGTATCGCCACAGTTAGTTCTCATTGAATATTATCTATTCACAGCAGCTACAGCTGTTTCAACATGCTCCAGTAGAAACTCATATAATTTCTTTCTCAAGTCTTCTACCCTTCCACTAGTCATAACTTCCCTACTGCTCAAGTCATCTAACCACTGATTCACCCTTTTAAGCTGCCCAAGAAGACAGGCAATTTCAGAACCTTCCGCTCTGCAAAACTGAAATCCATTGTTCAATGACTTCTCCATATACTCCAAGAACCATCCACGAGAATGCAAGAGCAACTTTTCAGCTAAACTTGCTGCTTTCTTTAACCCATTTCCCTTAGGACAATGCTCCCTTTTCAGATCCATCTTTTTTCTAACTGAAAGATGTCTCACTAAAGATGGCACTTGCTTAGGGCTTGAATCTGATAAGTTGCTATTGTTCCTAGGTCTTTGATTGTTTTGAGGAGATTGATTCTCAGATTTAAAATCTTCTGTGCTGTTCTCGAGGACAACATAATGACAGTTATTGCTATTCACCATTTCACTCTTCTCTGGCTTCTTGAACAGGATGAATTTGGAAAGGTTGGTCTCTATGGCGGCATGAAGCCAAGAAGCTGCACTTCTACTTGTTTTAGTTTTTTCTACATCAGCTGATAAACAATGTTGGCTATTGTAAAAGCTTGATTTTGTTTCTAGACGGCTGTCACTGAGTAAAGAATTAATCACCACTGCTGCTTTCTGCATATTCTGGTGCAGGTCCAAATATTGTTCAACTAGTGATCCTGAATATATATTCTCTGGAGACTTGCACAGTTCTGCAAATTCTCTAAAAAACCAAAAAAAAAAAATGATAATAATAAATAATAACAAATACAATAATCAGAACTGAAGGAACATAAGACACGTGCATAGATATTTTTAATTAAATACATAGCAGAATGAAGAGGCAGTTCTAGATTCCTTTTTCATGTTTCTTTTATTAATCATACTTTACATTATAATAGAAAAAAAAAAAATCTCCAGCAGATAGTATAAAATCCAGAATATCAAGGAAAATTGGTGATGAGCAGATTTTAGTTAGTTGTATAGTTGCATCGAGTTTAAGAAAGAGACGCATGAATACTGTTTTATACCAGAAAAAATAAATACACTCCTAAGAAAGTCAAAATCTGCACGCCTGCCATGCTCTGAAGTTTGGCTTTGACAAAATGATCATAATAAATTCCCGGTTTCAGTGTCTAAACAATGAGGTGAAAGGAATGCAATTGTGACCTTTATGAGAAATTGGCAGTATTTTATCTCTTTTGGTTTTCACTTGCTATGTTGATCCAATGTCATAGATCATATGGAACTCCGTAAATGAATTCATGAGAATAAGAGCAAAGGTCTTCCTATTAGTTTAAAGATAAGCAGTTCTGAGGAAATTAGTGTTTTGCACTATGATGAATCAACCAAAGTTTCAGGAAAGAAATTTTGACCTCAAATTTCATCAAAGTGACAACACAAGAAGAAAATAAAACTATGCAGACCAGTTGATGATTAAATTAAGTACGATTAGAAGAATAAGATTCATACTGCATGCAACGAATGACGTTTTCAGCAACTGATGCCTCTTCTACTGCACTTACAGCAGCCAAAAAAGCAACATTTCTATGATGCACGGTTTCCTGAAATCAAGAAGAACTTAAGAAGTAAGAATTTGGCACGAAATGGTCCACAATAGAATGTCAAAAGCATGGATTTGGGTTCAAACCTTTCCTAGATTCTGAATGGTGGGAGGAAGCACATTCCACGAAATCCTTTGTTCTTGTTCAGACCATGTTTTGGAACTAGTAGGCACCTTCACAAGACAGCTGGGAATGGTCCGGTCAGCAGCTGACTTGAAATCATTCTTCAAAGGCTTTGCAGGGACTTTAGGTGAAGACTGTTGATTTTTGCTTTTCAATGGCGAGACACATAAAGTTGGCCTCTTCAGTGTTGAATCGTTCTTAGGAGAGGCCTTCTTATCCAAATGAACCTGCAGCAACATTTGGTGATGAGCACTGTGAAATACAAATGGTACTATAAGGAGCATGTGGAGTTGCACCTATGAATACATAATAAACTAGCACTACATAAATTCAAAACCTCTAAATTTAGCTTTTCCAAGCGAACAAATGCAGATGTGAAAAAGAGCCAAAAGAAAGAAAAGGGAATGGAATGAAGAGCAAAACCATACATTACTGTTGGACGATTTCAGACTGAGATTAGTGTGAGAAGAAGATTTGGGTGTTGGAGTTTGATCCCAGATCCTCCTGGCCGAATCTAAACTCAACCTTCTCATCTCCAAACCTTCCACCTTGGAATCAACTGCTCTCTTCTTTGTCTTGGTCAAAGATTCATTCTTGGACCCCTTCTTCTCCTTGCTTAAATTCACATTAACATTAGCTTTAATAGGCAATAGATCACTCGACACCAAATCCTTGGGATTTCCCACACAGGGCCGCCTCCTGGGCACGGGCTTCAACCCGCGAAGCACCGGAACGGGCGAACCCCAATCCAACCTTGAAATGTAAACGAACTGTCCTAGTTGGATCTTGTCACTGTATATCAAATCCATGTCCTCATCCGGAATGGACACGTAAGCAGAATGCAGAGAGTCTGAAACCTTCAAGAAGAAACCAGTGCTCTGCCAGGGATCCTCAGCTCCAGCAAGAGAAGGCAAGATTTCCACCACCTGGAGGAGCGCGGACCGGTGTTCTCCGGTAACACTCACGTCCTTGTTGCCCGCATTCTCTAGAAGCTTTGATAGCACTCCAGGAGTAAGGAACGCCATGGGGATGGGATTGAGTTATTCTTTGTTTCAAAGCAATGCGCTGCTTTCTTCTGTCTCTGTTTCTGCTGCCATGCACCGCCACCATGGCCAAGAAAGTAGGCTGTACTACTGCTGGCGCTACTACTCTCTACTGAAGCGATTGAAGCGGGGAAAAGTTATGTCGCTATCAGAATCTCAATGCAGCATTGGAGAAGCTGCCTTCCGGTTCCGGGTTTTTTTTTTTTTTTTTTTTGGAAGCGGAGGAAAAAGTTATGTCGCTAATCAGAAATCTCAATGGCACAGCATTGGAGAAGCTGCCTTCCGGTTCCGGGTTTTTTTTTTTTTTTTTTTTTTTTGTTGGCATGAAAAGACACGTTTCAGCGAGATGTATGTGGATATTTAGGCTTGAGATCCCCGTCGAGGTACAGAAGGAAGAGAAAATGCGCAGGTTCCCAGGAATATGCATATTCTGCTAAAAGCGATTCTCCAAAGCTAATAAGACAAACATCTATTGACTACTGCTCACAGTCTGAGTATCAGCAAAAGAAAAGACCATCTTTTGAATGTTGATTGTCCCTCTCTTTTAACACATACTACACAGACCTTCGACGGTCAAGTAACGGCAAAAGATTGTGCCAATGGCATTACTTGGCAATTTCATTTCTTGGATCCATTGAATTGTTTTCTACTACTTTTTTCCTTTTTCTTCTCTATGGAATGGACCGGACCTATATGTAACTATCTACTTTGAGGCGTGAAGGAAGATGGGCTTCCCAAGAAGGTCATTAGTAGAGGTTGACAAAGATGGGCCAGACAAAATATTAAAGCTCCACAAATTGAATCTTTGTTAACGTACGTAACTCGAACTCTCGAAGTAATCAAGTTACGTACTCAAAACTCGAAAAGAGAGATTGACCGCAAGAAAAAAATGGAGTATAATGGTAACATTAAATTCTTAATTTGAGTGATGAAGAGTGAGCACAACGAATTATAGTCGTTTGGTGCAACTTCACCTTCATCGCTATGCAGGAGAAATATCGTCCTTAATATTTAGGCTTGGTTTGTAAAGCGAAAACAGACGTTTCACCTTTTTTAATTGTTTCCTAAGTAAACTCGACCCTTCCATCCCTTCAATATCAACTTCTTCCTCCTAGAGATGATGCTCATGTCTTCTGAGTCAGAAACTGAAAATGGGGAGCGAGTGCAATCCAAGCAAACACCGGTATGACATTACCATGTCCAAAAGAACAAGAAAGCCTTTGAAGAGTAACATGCCACAAGCGCATGCTGATCTTCGAGGAGAAGATAATTTGCTTGCAAAAGTTGATGAAGATCGCAAGAGCTTGAAGCAACTCATCAATGGCATTGCCAATAATGTTGAAGAAACCAAGGAGGACAGCGAAAATAGAGGCAGAAATTCTCTTGGCCAACACTTCTCTGAAGAAGAGAAACAGCTTCAATTGATGAGGAGGCAGAACCAACAAGGTCTGCAAGCAGTAAAACTTAAAGGAATTATGGGTCGCTATGTAAAAGTTCTGAGCCATTTGATCAAGGTCAAACGCGATTCTACCCGAACTAATATTAGACCCCGGAAAAAGCCTGTTCTCCATCTCGCAATGTAGGATATCATATGTATTTTCCTGTGGCTGCTGAGCTGATCATCTTTTTCATTGCTGGTATGACATGAAATATATATAATATATACATATAATATTTTTCTGAACCGTTAAATTAGCATCAACGATATACTATAAACATTGGCTTTCTCCATGGTACAAAGTTCAAGCATTCATGCATAATTTTCTACAGGATTCCAGTGCTCCAGCATAATTTAGGAATGATAAGAAGTAGTTTACTGGCAGAATAAGTACTCATCCGAATTTGAATTTATTGATAATTCCACTACTAATCTCATATCTATCCAAATTTTTGAAATTCACTTTTATCTACAATAACTATCTCAAACCCAATAAACATTTTGTAAATCTGCTTGATCCAATCAATGAATTCAGACATTTCAGCTTAATGGACAGTTTCTATTTCACATTCGGATGAAACAGCTCATTGTATATCCTGAGTTGAGTACATAAATACAAACAAAATACACGACTTCTATGTATTTTATAAAGGCAGGTTTCACAGCAGCAACATCAAGAAATTGATCAGTGACGTCTAAGTTCAGGAGATGAAAGGACGTTTACCTTCCAGGCCTGCGGACCATATTCCCAGAGAAAAACAGTGTGCCATAACCGAACAGTAGGAAAAAGCTGTCAACTGCTGAGCTCGTTAACAAATTAGTATAGTTTGCTTGTAAACATCCTGTAAGAATGTATTAGTGTTAGTTTTTCTTAAACTGCACGTCTGGTGTACAACATTTGAATGAAGCCTAGCCTTGTGTAGAAAGAATGTTCAAATAACTATCCTATGAGCAAAGAACAAATACTGGACATGACCTCCTTGAAAGAATAAAGTAAAATAAACTAAATCCCAGCCGATTGGGTTGTACTGATCTGAAATTCTTCATCCCTAACTGAGCACAACTGCTGGGGTATATTGCAATCTTCACAATAAATTGGCAACTTTTCATACATCATTACTCCAAAAGTGGCTCCATCAGGGGTTTGTACTGAGGAGCATGCAGTTTCATAGTGTATGTAACAGCTACACCAAGAAGTGAACAAAAAGCTGGAACCAGACCCAAACCATATCTTGTAACTGAAATATAATCTGCTAAAAGAGTATTCTGGACTTTCGGCGAGATGCCTGCAATGAGCAGTGCAATATTGAGTAGGTTTCAACAATTAAATGCAAAATAAAGAAATAACATGTACATTATTTATATATCTGCAATAGATATGCAATTGTTAGGGTGCAAGGCTACTAACTTAAAGTTTAGTAACGAAACAAGTCCCCTGAATCTACAATACATCTTATTTGACATTTTGTTTTTATTTTCCTCTTTTGTACTATAACAAAAAGGTTGGAGCAGGCCTTGCAGTTAAATCCAACTTACTTTGAAATGATTGAAGAGCATACAGAGCAAGTCCACATGAAATCTTGTCTAAAAAGCTAAGGGATCCATAAACAAACGCACAGCCATTGAGATCTGAACCGACTAGAACACTTTCCATGCTTATTCCAGTTACCTGATGTTCATATTTTCAGTAGGGAAAAAAAGAAAAAAAAAAGAAAACCACAGGGTGAGCAAAACATGCAAGTCATCTGCAACCGCAAAAACCATGTAAATTTCTTAACAGATACGTAAGACTGAAAATCAAAAACAGAAAACAGATTTGGAAAGTATGGCAGCACAGAAGGAGACAATCCAGCCCTTAAAATATCAATGTGACAAATGCCCTAATGTGTAATTATTATATGCAAATACGTAGGGGAAGAGGGGAATGGGGTGACGGAAGCAATAGACTTAACCTCACACAGCCACACAACTAAAAGTGTACTAGAAAAAAAATTTAAAAAAAAAAAAAACAAAAAAATCAACACACATTTGACAAGTACTTGACATTTCGGAGTTAAAGCAAAGAATCTGAAATCATACCATCATTAGAGCATTTGCTATCCCAATAAATATGGATATGACAAACATGAAAGCACTCAGGCTTCTGGGTAAAAGAAGGATGCTTGCACCACAAAACATCCAAAGAATGCCGCCAGCAGAGTAGTATGCTTTCAGGCGTTGTCCAGTCCAAGATATTTCCTACAATATGTATGTAGAAAGCCTAATTATCAACAAAAGAATAAACATAAACAAATCATGCAAGGATATCAAATATAGAAGTCAACAAATGAGGGTCACCTGCATGATGACAGATATAACAAAGCTGCTGATGTAAATGATTGCAGGTACCTACTCCCAACAATAAGACATGATATCAGATTCATATACAAATGTTAAAAGCTCGAATTGATAAGATCTGTGCACCTACCAAAGCTTTAGCTGATTGGGTCATTCGCAAATCGTTAATCACATAGAATGCAAGATATGCCTGAGGAAAAGAAGCCATTGTGATGTAAAAACTACTAGGAAGGAAGGCCTATTTTTCGACAATACTTCCCATAATATCCACGGGGAATTTAGCTTTTAACCAATCTATAAATAGTGAAATGGAGTATCTCATACTCATGAAAATAAGGAACTTCTAGAATAAAGGTGAGATGCAGGCCAGGGCCACAATATAAAGGCAAATGTACACAGACCTGGGAAACATTTTGTACAAGCCTTGTAAGCACATATACAAGTCCAACTTGGTAGTATAAAATTTTCTTGAACCAGTAAGTCCATGATATCCTTGCATAACGATTTCCATGCAGACTTATCCTTAATCTACATTTAAAAGGGAAATCTATTACTCCAACCAATTATTTAGTGGTAATACGGAAACAATCAAGCTTGCATGAGAATCATTCAAGGTGAGAATATTAAAGGTGAGAATGATTCTCCAGTGCCGCAATACCTTGTTGATCAAAGTTTTGGTCCATTAATGGCATAAGCACTTATCAGAACAACCCATAAGAATCGGAGTACTTGTTTAGGACATCTAGTAACAATACCTTGGCTCCTTGGTTCCAAGATGAAATATTCCCACAAAGCAGCATCCAATAAAAATTGACACGTATGCAATCCAACGGTACTGTTCATTGGTGGCCATTAAAGAGGATAAGGGTAAGCTCTTAAGAGTCAAATTGAAAAGCATAGCTGAAGTAAATAATACCTGATTTTCAATATCATCATGTGTTTTTGCTTCACTGACGTTGAATACTGTCAAAGCAACTGCATAAAGACTGAGATTGGCAACCTAGGAAATTTTTTGCAAAATGAGAACCACATTTAGTGACATTGCATTAAGAATATGATGAAAAGCAAACATTAAATAGTATTCAGAGAAAGCCAACCATAGTAAAAGCATTTCGACAGCTAGCCATCACCACCCTGCTTGTTGAATTCAGGGAGATGCAATTCACCATGGACCTTCAAGAAAACAGCAACAATTTGCTATAGATGAGTAGTTTAGGACATGGTGTTATAATTGAATGCATGCGTTGTATATACATACTCCTCCACATCCCAGAGAAATAAATAGCATTCTCATGGAAAAAAACGAGGAAAAAAATGAATCAGCCATTAGATTTTGATAAAAACTTAGTTAAAATAGAATGCTAAAGAAAGAGAGGAGGACAGAAAAGAGAAAAGGGGTGATATTTTTTTAATAGAGTGACACCACAGCAATCAGATGAAAAAAGAAAAGCTATCAATTAATGGGAAAATAAAAAAGAAAAAACTAAAAGAATTTCAAAAAATTCAACTTACATATGGAAGATCTAAATTGTAGAAATGAGAGCAACAACTTCAAATTTGAAATGAAAAATAATAAACAATAGAGGACATTACATGTGTGAAACTTGAGTAGCAGCCCAACCCACATTGAAGATTGCAGCAAAGACACTATAAGAAATTGTTTCTATAGTCCATGAATTGGTGCTGAAGATTTTACAAGGCCAACAGCCACCAAAAACAGATGAAAATGAAATGGCAACCAGGACTGATCCTGCACCATGCCATATTTTGAAATGTCCAAACCTGTCTATCTATAAGTAAAATCATTGAGAAAATAATTATCCCAAAGTAAGGCGAAAGTCATGCAAAAACTAAAAGCATTGAAAATATTACAAACTCAATAACAATTCAAAGTTAGGAGATAAAATTGCTGTCTATCAAGGTAGTATCAACATAGCATGCCTGTGCTGTTGCCGTCCAGTTTCTGGAGGGAAGTGTCAATTTCAAATAAAGAGCACAAACAATGGTCCGCTTGCCTCATTTACATATTCAATTCAAATCACACATGAAAGCTGAAAAGGAATCTCAAAAAAGATTTAAAGGAAACAATTTTTTTTTTCTTTTACTATTTTAGCCAGTACAAGAGGATCTTTGTCAACTCCCATGGCCCTAACTAGGTAAATTGCAGATTGAGGAACACCAGGAAACAGCAAAAGTGAGGAAAGTTACAGAGGGAGAAGATAAGAGAGTTTTCATAATCAATTCTGCTATTTCTTATGGAATTCTTCCAGAGGACACGTAATCACTTCTTATACCAACACCTCATCGATCCATGTTCTTGCTTCTAATCAAAGCACTGCAGTTACTACAATTTTCAGACATAACAACAGTTTCAAAATTGCTAGAGCTATTGACAGCTGATTTCCATGAGAGAGATTACATTACAATGTAATTTCAATTGAACCAACTTTTAAATTTCAAAGATAATAACAAATTAATTAAGAGACATCCTCCATGCAAACCAAGTGAAAATGATCAAGGATCCAAATAGCAATACAAGAGATTGTTTGCTTCACCTATCCTCCCCCCACACCCTGTTCCTCTGAATAGAAAACACTCAAATAACAAGGAAGCACTTCTTTGAAAAAAAAAATCATCTAAATCAGTAGAAGCTCAACTGAAGTCGTTGAACCCTATTTTAGTCCTTGAACATTACATTATTTGTCATCATGCTGAAATTAAGATTCTTCTTAATAAAAACCACATCATATGAAATATACAATACGTCACTAAACTCAACCCGACCTCTATATTTAAGGTCTCATTGTTAATTCACTTAATGATATTCATATTGTACACTGTCTTAACTTGTATGTTATAAACTAAAATTTATAAATCATGATTGACCATCTCGGAACTGAAGGCATATACTCAAAAGTGCCTTCACACAGAGAACATAATCTATAAAACTTAGCATCTCTATATTTGCAGAAAAACAAAAAAAAGAAGACATACAAAATATCATTCCGCAAGACAAAGAATATCAGCAAAGTACTATTACAGAAAAGAATACACAAAACTAGATCCAACCAAATTTCAAAAAGAAACATAGATTAGAAGAACATGCATTACTTAATGGCAAATCATGCAGTACAATTTTATACCAGTTCACCCGTAAATATGGTGGCAAATCCATCAGCTATCTGACCTGAAAGCATTACTATAGCAGCATCTCTGTAAAATTCATTGAATAGAACATAAGAGCCTGCTAGAATGAATAAACCATGAGAACTACCAGAATTTACATATGTAAAAAACAAGGGAAGAAAACACAAACACACACACAAAGCTTAAACTGGATTTTGGGGAAAAAAAACTATATTGCAAATGTAAGTAACAATATGGATTACGTTCTGCAAGTACATATACCTCGGGGAGAGTCCAATATCAGTTAAGAATAATAAGAGATAAGTAAACCAACAAGCAGAAGTGATGTCATTTAGCATGTGACCCACACCATAATAGAAAACAGCCCATCTTCCAACTGGTTTCAAATATGAACTATCTTCTTCAATGTCATCACCCATTTATCCTACAAAAGTTAGATCTTTAACACTTAAAACATGTCAAGAAGTATGGTTTCAGATCTGAGGGAACCTGCAAAATAGAAATTGAAGTTCAGAGAATGAAAAGTTGATACCGATTCTACTAAATTAATTACAATACCAACCATAAATTTCCAAAGGCAACTTTTCTGAAAGGAACAGATAGTCCACACACAAGATTCGGCCATAGCATAATCAATGGCCACATCAGATATCATTCACAGGTATAACCTTTCAAAATTTCAAAATCTGAGTTATTTGTAAAGCTCCTTTCCAATTGATTTTTAGTTTTTGCAACACTTCCATGCAATCTCTCTCATTATCCTGAAGTTTTCCTTTTCCTTCTTGGAAGAAATTTATCAATGTGCAGAAGAAAAAAATAGCAGATACAGACATTTTCAAGCTTAAACACACTACCACAGCAAAAAGAGAACAGCTATAGGCTAGTAAAGAAACCCAAGAAGCAGAATAAAGATAGAGGAATCCTTCAAAGAGGATGATCTAATTTATTCCTCCGCAAACCTAGGCTAATGCTTTGCCATCACAAAATTCTCAATCCAGTCCCTAAGTTCGTCAAAGTATCAAGGTGAATTTCTGAAGGATTACCTGCTCATCATGGTAATTATTCTAGAGAGGTCTTAAATTTCTCTCTTTACAAATTTGGTAAGTTACTAACACCAAGCCAAACTCAAAACTAACTATGAGAATGATCCACTTTTGTTCTGATGCAAAACTTCTTCAACACCGTGGACCAAATTTTCTGCAAAACAATAACCACAATAATACATGGTCCCTAGCTTCCATGACTTCTCTAAGAAAACATACATCGTCAGGACTTATCAAGAATCCCATGTCTGCCTTTTATTTCTCTACTTGATAGCAGCAAAGAATTGGAATATCCTTGGGAAGCCAAACTCTTCAATAAACCAAGAGCTCATTTTTAGATGGGAAACCCTAATAAAAAAAACTTGATACCCGCAGCATAGGAGAATATATCACATGGCAGTGGCTCAAGTGCTCACTGCATTGAGACCTGGAGGATAGATAAGACCAGAGGTCCCATTCTGCAATAACATTTGCCTCACACTGACAGTCAACGTGGACTCTAACATGATCCAACTTCCACATAAGGGCAACAGAGGTGAATTATATTAGGGTGCCAATTTTCACTATTAAAGATGGGATTTTTTACCATTCTACAAGTATCATAACGCATCCGGTAAAAGGAAAAGCTCCAGAATTTTCCTCCTAATGCAAGAGAAAGTTCCTATTTTTGAGAGTAAAATTAAGTCCAAAATCAAATTACTCAGTGTCCTCCATCCAAACCACATTCCCCTCCATTGAAACAACAATTATTCTAATACTGTGGTCAGTGTTTAGGACTCCATCGAGTTGTTTCCAAGCATTCATGCAAACCCAATTGAACAAAATCACTGAAGCAAATAAACAGTAAATATTAAACAAGAACGAGCTTGAAAATTGAATTTCACCTGTGTCAAACACCAAAATAAAAAAGGACGGACCAAAAAACTCAGAAGCAATTAAAAAAAATCGTTAATACCAAGGAAGCAAAAACTAGTATAGAAAAAGAAAAAAGAAAAACAGTGAGAGCAGTTGGAAACAAAAGAGAAGCAGAAGGACCAGTAGATAGAGAGGAGATTGGGGCAAAAACCAACCTTATGAGCCAAAAGCGTCCAATTGCTGAGCAGAAGGGTGAGTCTAATGGATTATGGGCACCAAACATATAAGGAGCCAAATTGGGAGTTATGTACCAGGAGATGAGATGAGATGAGATGTCTTGCACAACTCAGCAACTCGGTCCTCACTCATCCAAAGCGGCGGTTCTGTCTTCTTCTTCTTGACATCTGGCATTTCACATTTCACCCCGTTGCCTGCGGGACAGATACTAATTTTGGAACTCTTCTAATATTCCTGAGGGGGACAACAGTTGCCGCTAGATACGCCAGATATCATACATGCGAGAAATGCTGAGGTTACTGCTGTCATTTAGAATGGGAGGTGAGGAGGAGAAGGAAGCAATGTCTAAACTCCATTTATTTTAAATTATTAAATCAAATGTGAAAGCAAGGGGAAGCCGATTTACGACTTTCGAGGAACTAACAAGAAATTGCATTTGGACCTTAATGGGAGAAATGCTGAGGTTACTGCTGTCATTTAGAATGGGAGGTGAGGAGGAGAAGGAAGCAATGTCTAAACTCCATTTATTTTAAATTATTAAATCAAATGTGAAAGCAAGGGGAAGCCGATTTACGACTTTCGAGGAACTAACAAGAAATTGCATTTGGACCTTAATGGGGAAAAAGATAACAACCTACTACCTAACACTCTTCTAGGACGTGGGTCCCACATAAAATCAACTGACAGTCGTTTCTTACTGGACTGTTAGATTCCCGATGTCATCCTTTGAATCTTTTTTTAATTATTTTGGATTGTTTTGTGTGTTTAGAGTTACGATGCTCTGTCTTAATTTCAGGAATATTAATAGTTTGCTGCAAAAACAATAACTGTATTTGCAAGATTTCCGAAACGAAGAACGACAATGCATAGTACTAATTTATATCATCTGAAGTAGGAGTTATCACAAACAAGCCCATCAATTTCAACTGACAGTAGCACCAGTGTCCATAATGTAAGATCACATGTATCAGTTGTACAGAGACAAAAATTTCAATATTACAACAGTCAAGATTGAGGGAGGTGTTTGACGTTTCCACCAGGATAATCCTTTTGTGGTGTCTGAAGCTAGAGCTATATGAACCACTGTAGGTGACGCAAATACGAAAGTGAAAGCCCCAGAAAAACTATCTGCAGCCCAAACAATGCCTTTCTGCTAGTGCTACATCCACTGCTCATCTTTTGAGCACTTTGTCCCTGGCTGGTGCCACTCGCAGGATTCTCATCATCTGCTTTCAATTAATTGCTCATCTCTTAATTGAAAGTTGATAACAAAAAAGTAGTCGTTAAAGTAGTTATGGAAGTTAAAATCAGAATTACCGCTAGGACTAGGAGCAGGGCTGGTGCCACTCTGATTAGAGCTTTTAGCGAACTGATAGAAAACTTGAGCATCTGGTGAATTAGGAGCCAAGTGCAGAAGGGCTGTATTGCATCCATGCTATAATTAAATAAAATTCTCAACTTTTGACTGATATTTAGCATTTTAAACAGCACTTACCAGGGCATTGGGAAACGTTGGCTGTTGCATGGCAAACAGAGGGAAGACCAAGAGCGAGAGTGACATTGATTTTGAGACCCAAATCAGGATCATTTCTATCCTTAATAATCACACACAAACATTTCTTGTTGTCTCTGAGGACTTGTTTGAGACCATTACAACAATCTGGCGTTGGAGATTTGGAAGTGGCCCCAACGTAAGGGAGGCATGTAGCCAACCCCACTAGCTGCTCTGCACATTCCTCTCTGTCTTTGTCTGAACAGGTAACCATGGATGTCATTAACGCTACGGTTAATGTTAATGCAAGTCCAACTCTAGTCAACTGCAAACCCATTGCAACTAAGAAATCGATTACAAAGATAAAGGCTCAGTTCAAGGTCGCTTATATAGTAATGTCCTAGCTCTAGCTGCCTCTTTAATTGATTATTCCAGTCACCAACAACACTGCCTGCTTTTTGTTAAAGAAAATTCTTGGATTAGATTACATGCTGAATTTCAGGGCTTTTGGAAATTGATCGAGTATATGGTGGACCCTGTCTTCTTCTAACATCAACACCTCACAAGTCACAATCCAAGACCAGACATATCTTCCCATAATTCTTACTCAAACAATGCATGATTTGTCTATTTGTAGAAATGGCCTAATAAGACTTCATGTCTGAACTCTAATAAAGAGATGGAAAATAGAAGACTGTAGATAGAGATAGTGGCTTCCAAATGGAATTCAAACAGAAAGAGAAATGCTAATCATTAAGTGCCTCACTTCACCAACCCACCAAAGGCAACAATATCAATGATACATGACCTCATGCAACATCTTGATGACATCACCAAAAAAAAAAAAAAACACTAAGTTGATGCACATATAGATTGTGCAGGATGAATCTGTTCTAGCATCCAGCATCAAGTAGTTGGTATGAATAATCTAATTAGCAACAAAATTTATGTTATGGGTCTCTTGCATTGGAATTCAGGAGAGTGAAGACAACCCTTTGTGAGCTCTTACGCTTGGTCAGTTCAAAGCAAAAAAATTTTACCATAAACAGTCTGGCCATTTAGCCCATTGGGCTTCTGATCCATTTTGACTTTCTATATGAGCCTTGTATTATATATTGGCCCATTAGTGTGGGATCCCCGTTCTAGAGCTTAGCCTTGAGCCCCAAAGATGTTGAGATTTTTTTTTTTTTTTTTTTTTTTTTTTTTTTTTTTCCCCGGTTCATTAGAGGCTTAGCCTTTTGAGGCCCAAAAGATGTTGAGATTTTTTTTTTTTTTTTTTTTTTTTTTTTTTTTTTTCTTTTTGAGGGGAAAGTTGAGATTTGTTTTGATCATTTCGAAATGAAAACGTTTTGATATCAAGATCTACCACCAGCCTCCCATAATAAAGGAAAAAATAACTATATACCTTCTCTTTTTTGTCGATCGGTTACTGCTTTAACAAGAAGGGTATTACCATCTTGACAAGATAGTTTAAATACTGTTAATTTTAAATAGACTTAACACAATTACAATTTTCAGATTGTATTTTTTTTTTTTTTTTTTTTTTTTTTTTTTTTTTGAGGGGAAAGTTGAGATTGTTTTGATCATTTTCGAATGAAACGTTTTGATCAAGATCTACCACCAAGCCTCCCATAATAAAAGGAAAATAATATATACCTCTCTTTTTTGTCATCGGTTACTGTTTACAAAGAAGGGTATTACCATCTGAACAAGATAGTAAATACTGTAATTTAAATAGACTTAACACAATTACAATTTTCAGATGTAAATCAAAACCCGATGAGGCATTCTTACATATAAAGGTAGTATATAATTACAAAGAATTTATTGATGGGAGGGGAATTGAATCTATATATGAAAAAAAAAAAAAAATCAAAATAACATACCTAAAGGTGAAAAAAGTCATCACCTAGGATACGGTTATGATTCTCTCTACTACCACTTTGAAGAAAATAATAATCTTCTTATTGTAGGACCTGACTGAATTCCTTTAATTTAACTATGTAATGTTTAAAAAATCAAAGGAGCTGGCCTCTCAATATCTATTAATTACTTAGAGCTTAAGATCATAAGTTAACGATCCAGTATAAAGTAATAAACTTTATGTGACTAGTTATTTTAATGAATTATTTGAGTCCTCAAAGGAATTATTATTATTATTATTATTTCTTTTTATATATATAATAATTTGTGAGAATACTAAATTGAAAGAATGGAAGCAACTTTTAAAAAATTCACATGCATGGGCTGCCATTTAGATATATATAATGGTTGATAGGCTTTCCTAAATCTATGTTTCAGTCCTCTTCTTTATTTATTTTTATTCAAGAGTTGGCTGATATCTAGTGTGTGGTCGGTGTTACGTGGCAGCTATTGATTAGTGAAGTCGCTATTACAATGAATCTCAACCATAAAAAAGTCTCACCGTCCTCCGCTGGACGTATCCTGTTGGACTGCACATTGATAAAGCAAACAGAGAATTTCCAAGTGACTAAGCTTTCTTTCCTTCATCACACACCCATAAATACGTATCTTCTTTCTCTCATCCATATATATATATATATAGTAACCTCCAGGTGCTAACATATTAATCATCGTCGTCACCTTTCTAGAACATATTTTGAAGAATAATAGCTAGAGATCAAGAATGGCAAGTACTAGTAATCATTCATCAACGTATTATCATCAACAGGCTCCATTGCCAATTCACCTATGCTTCTTCCTTCTGATACTCTTGACGCTGATGGGAATTTCATGGTACATCAACTACGAGCCGGTGCTGGAGAGTATGTTCGATCAAGTGAAGCTGGCACTAATGGCGTCACCATTGCTACTTCTGCTAGTAGTTCACTGGCTTTCAAATGATGAAAGCCGAAGGAGGTCGTATTTGATCCCTTTGCCAGAGAAAGACTCTCTTCACAGAGCTGGAGGAACTCCATGGGGAGTAGGTTTTCTGCTTGTGTTTCTCTTCTTCATGATATCTTACCAGTCTTCTTTCCAAGAACGCTGGTTTCCTCTTTTAACGAGATAGTTTGTTTTAACGTGTTTGATCGACGTACGAACACCTCTTTAATTCTGCCCTTTTTTTTTTTTTAAGTTGGATAAGAGAGAGGGTATCTACTATAGTGTAATCTTGTGTAATTATAATGTTATGAGCTGAAATTAATTAATTAATAATGTTATGTATATCTTCTGCCATTTGTGATTAGTGAAGTGTAACGATGGTATGGCTTGTTAATGTTGGGGTTTAAATGAAGGAAAATTCTGCAGTTTTCACTTCAATTATTTATTAATTACATGATTAATTTTAATATCATCAATTATTCATTTGAAAAAAAGATAAATGACAAGTATTGGTGCGGTCCAGCAGTAGCAATTAACTTTGGCTAAGGATCCAAGAATGACTCCGTTCCATCTTCACACATATGCTCAATTAATTAATTTTAGTTTGACAAATTTCAACAAGAGTTACATCACCTTTCAAGGGTTTAGTATTAGAAAATGTCTATGGATTAGGTAAAATGTCACACGGATTAGGTAATTAAATGGTTGTAAACTATACAAACTTTGCGGCAGTTGAAAAACTCTGTTTTGGGTTGGTATTTTCAGTTGTCACACTTATCAGGCCCATAATCATAATGCCCCTGTTAACTGTTGCATTTGGACAAGAAACAATATCCGTCCATAACAAGGGCCTAGAAACCTAACATGACCCATATGGCAGCACATGCAACTAAGCAAAGCAATGGTTCGGTTCCTCACTAGGTCTTTTTCTCATCCCTATAAAAGACCAAAAATTAAAAATAATCTATTACATAATCTAATTTTGTAGGTAGGCCACTTCCGGTTAGGGGTGGGATTGAGACTAATTGATGCAGGAGAATGTAGACCCCATCGACATGTACAACTACAATGCAAATAAAGCCCCTAATACAAGTGTAAATTAGCCTGCCTAAGTTGGAATCTTGATTGAAAAATCAATAAATTTGAAAATTTTAGACTCGAGTTCAACTTGAGGTTTTAGTTCAATTCAAATAATTTTAAATTTGAGCTCGGTTCAAATAACGTAAACTATTATTATATATATACATACAAAACTTTGATAAGGCTCGATGAGCTTTCGAGCTGTATATTATTAAGCCTAAACTCGATTTGAATCGAGTTTTTTCAAACTTTTTTCAAACTAAGCTAAAACAGTTTGCAAGCCGGTTCGACTTATTTACACCTCTACTCCTAATAAATAAATTTGACATAGTTATTTACAAAGTAAAATTTATGGATTAGGTCAAATAAAGCCACTCTCATAACATGGGCCATGTTAGGTTTTAGATCGGGAAACCACATTGACTAATTTTCTTTTTTTTTTTTTTTCAATTAATATCTTTAATTATATCTTTTTTGTATGAAATTATTTTTGTTTCAGGATTTATGACAATCTATCTATAAGTGTTTTTTTTACGAATCCAACTTGTATCGCTAAGTTTGAAACCACTGCCATATATCCATCATCTACATATAACTTCTCATTCCAAAGCTTTTTTGATAACTTTTCTTTTTCTCTGCCATGGCCTGTAAAGAAGAAAGCAGAATCTTTTATCCACTCTTTGTCTCTAACTTTATATATGTACTTTCTCAATTCGTCTTATCTTACACCACAATCGGAGACTCTATACAGTTGCAGTAGTTGTTACTTGTTTAGTTGCATCAAGGATTTCTTGATTTTTCGTTTCATTTTTTTTATAAAAAAGAAAAGAAAATAGTGTTCCAACTGTTAAATGATCCATCAAGGATTATTATTATTATTTAGTAGTTTGTAATAATAAGTAGATGATCTCTAAAACAACTGGTTTGAAGGAATCTGAGCCATTTGATGATTGACATTCGAGATGGATGCTTTTCTTGGCTTTATTGTTGATTCTCCTACAAGCTACCTGAGGTATAATAATAAGATACAAAACCTCATCCATGCTCGCTCGTGGCTTTTCATGTCAACATAAAACCTCTTTAATCTCCTTCTTTTTTGGCCCTTTAGCTTGCTTTGTTTTCTTTCTTTCCCCTTTAACCAATTTTTCAGGCCTAAAAAACGAAAAGCTCAGCAAAAATGTGTGCTAAGAGCGCATTCACTCGCTTTCTTGAAAGAAAATTTGCACTAAATTTTAGCAAAAGAGGTGTAAATGAAACTTTGTTTAAAAGCAACAGTGGCATAAAGTTGCCAAATTTGCAAAAAAAGAATATAGAATATGTTCATCTGTGGCTGTGCAGCACCTTATACATATATCCTTTCATGAAAATTATATATATTTCTGGCGTTTTAAAAGATCTTTGTGCTTGAAAGCTTTAAAGCTAATTTGCTAAGTAAAGGATATATATATATATAATAAAAGGCTAGCTATTTACACAGCATCAATGCCGATGCTCCACACATAATTAATTTCCTCTCTTTTCTACTTGTTCCATATATAACAGATCATGTATATATATATCCAAAACTTGCAGCTTCAGACTTTAGTTAATTCTTCATGAACATAATTCTCCATATAATCCAGAAACAAAAAAGAAAATCCAAGAAAAAAGGAGGAAAGGTCTATATATCATCAATTCATCACCATGGTTATGATGACGACGATGGCATAATTATTCCAAAGAACATTCTCTGAGCTCTAAGAACTGAGAAGTCCCAATTCCAAGAATGGAAAAAGAAAAAGAAAAAGAAGAAAACAAAAGCACATTGTCATAAAAGCAAAATTATTCTGTGTCTCGTGTGCCTGCACTGCTGCGGTCCTATGGACATACTCTCTCTCTCTCTCTCTCTCTCTCACCACCACCAGTAATGTCCCACCCTTGTGCTAGTTAATTTCCAAACTTATATATATTCAACCACCTCTAATAATTGTCTTAACACTTTATACAAATTGAGTTTTTTTTTTTTTTGGAAAGGTATACAAATTAAGTTTCATGCCTATATATAGTTACATAATTAAATGAATTAGGTTTATATAATATTTAAATATTGCTACCAGTTAATTCTCTCTCTAAAAAAGAAGAAAGTAAATAAGAAAGAAACCTTGCAACTTAATAAATTGGTACAAGATCATATGACTGTTTATAAAAAAATATCTTCAATCCAATATTGTACTAGACAGAGATGATTAATTATCCTTAAACTGAGAAAACAAATAGAGTATTTTAATTTTTTAAAACAAATTAAAAATTATGTTACGGCTGTGCATATATATAAAATTTTAAAATTCATACCTTAAAAGAAATCAATTAGCATTTAAGGTGAATATTAAGCGAAAAATGTATCCTGCATGAAATATATTTTTATCTCTTTGTACATTTAGTCAATGATTGATTGTAATTAAAAAAATTATATGTCATTATTACTATATTTTATTAAATTTTTAATGGATATGTTGTATTTCAATTACTCTTCTAATTTGTAATTATTTAACTCATAGATATTGTTTCTGGAATATAACTAATATTGCACGTTCGCTTTAAAGTTTTAGACCAAGTCAAAGAATAGGATTAAGATGTGTGTAATAATAGATCTAGTAGTCGACAAAGCAAAAGCAAAAGAAGAGTAGTTGGCTTCACCTTTATCTTTTTCTTTGCTGCTTTTCTTTTCAGACCTCAACAGTGCCTACCCAGCCACACTCTTCATGTCTTTTCTCTCACCATCAAATTATGCTCTACATTATTAATTTAATTTATAATTATAATTGCCTCTAATTAATTAATTAATTATTTTAATTGACAATCAATATCAAAAAACTATATTACAGTCTAGATGTATATATATATATACATAAGATAAGTGACCCATAAAAAATCAACCCTTTTTTGTCATCTTCCCCACCAAGCATATATATTACAGTCTTAAGTCTTAGGCAGAGACAAAATCATAATTCACCAAACAAACAAACAATCATGGAGATTTTATCACAGATGTGGTCTTTTCTTGGCCTTCTCACTGTTCTTCAGAACATCTTACCTACACAGCTTCTTTCCCTTCTCCACTCCATCTATGAGTCTTTCCAAGACCTTATCTCCCCTTTTTCCTACTTTGAAATCCCTGAGTTTAATGGCTATTGTGGCGTTGACATCAATGATCTCTACCGCCACGTCAATCTCTATCTCAACTCTGTCAACTCTTCCACTTCCGCTGCCGCCTGTCGCCGCCTCACTCTCTCCCGTTCCAAGTCCTCTAACTGCATTTCCTTCACTGTAGCTCCGAATCAAACCGTTCACGATATTTTCAATGGCCACTCTCTTTCTTGGACGCACCATGTCGAAACTGTCCAAGACTCCTTAGAAGAGAAACGAAGCTTCACTCTCAAGCTACCAAAGCGACATCGCCATACCTTACTTTCGCTGTATCTCCAACACGTGACATCACGTGCGGAGGAGTTCGAGCGAGTCTCAAGAGAGAGGAGGCTCTTCACTAACAATGGCAATGCCTCCTACGAGTCAGGATGGGTTTCAGTTCCTTTCCGCCATCCTTCCACTTTTGACACCCTGGCCCTCGAGCCTCAGCTGAAGAAGCAAATCATGGAGGACTTGAAAGCATTTGCTAATGGAAGAGAGTTTTACCACAAAGTTGGACGTGCATGGAAGCGCGGTTACTTGCTATATGGTCCACCAGGCTCCGGCAAGTCAAGTCTAATAGCCGCAATGGCTAACTATTTGTGTTACGATGTTTATGATCTTGAACTCACAAAAGTCACCGACAACTCTGAGCTTAGAGCTCTGCTAATACAAACAACAAACAGGTCCATTATTGTGATAGAAGACATTGATTGTTCTGTCGATTTAACAGCAGATAGAATGGTGAAGGCTACAAGAAAACGATCCCACTCATCGGCTGGGAAGGATTCAGCCAATGACGAGGAGAATGGACGGGTCACCTTATCAGGACTTCTCAACTTCACTGATGGATTATGGTCGTGTTGTGGAGAAGAGAGGATTATTGTGTTTACTACAAATCACAGAGACAATGTGGATCCTGCTCTAGTTAGATGTGGCCGAATGGATGTTCATGTCAGCTTAGGCAATTGTGGGATACATGCCTTCAAGGCCCTGGCGATGAACTACTTAGGGATAGAGTCTCATTCCCTGTACGATGTTGTAGAGAGCTGCATAAGGTCCGGCGGTGCTCTTACGCCTGCACAGATAGGGGAGATACTGTTGCGAAACAGAAGAAATGCTGATTTAGCAATGAAAGAGGTGGTGGGTGCAATGCAAGCAAGAATTTTGAGCAGTGGAACTCACAAGGAACATTTGACAGATTATGAAGACATGGGTACAAGGTCACCGCAGAGCGTGTTAGCGGTGGGGTCACCAGAGAATTGGGACTCATCGCCGGGGAGAATCGGAGGGAAAAAGAGAAAGGAAAAGGAGGCTAACAATCATTGGGAAAAGAAAGCAAAGTTTCTTGTTAGACTAAGATCTTTGACCAAGTCCGAGTCTGGTCGCAGGGGTGTGTGACATGTAGTAGGTGATGACCTGTTGGTCTGTTTTCTCAATGGACCCGCTAACTCCTCAGTCCTAGCGGAATTTTGGTTCATTTTTCGTTTAGTTGTAAAAAAATCCTGGCAACTAATTAATATAATAACTGTTTTTTAATTTTCATATTGAGAAGCAATTGATTGGGTTCAGAAGCAGATTTGTTCATCTTTGTCTTCTTTAATTCAGGAAACCAGAATTAATTAGTCCCCAGAATGACTCGTGTTACAAAACTATGATGATGACAGAAACATGTCATTGAAATTGTGCTTAAATTTGGTGAAATGGGACAATTTCATTTACTTTATTTTGTGGCTATCTTAAGAGAGTTGATAGAGCAAAGCAATCTCCACGTGTCTGAATTCCTTGAAAAAGAAATAAAACCTCTATTTTAAGGGGAGAAGCAAATTAATGAAAGCACATTAGCATCTCTAAAGTATGGGAAAAAATGACCGGATCGGCATTTGCCATCCACAAATCAAAATCACCACACACTCTAATTTTAATTAGCAATTGAGAATCATGCAATGCTAAGCCACGAATTGACTGACACTAGGCCATTCATTTGTAGCCTCAGTTTTACGCCACGAGCATCTCTGTCTCTCTCTGTGTGTAAACCTCTCCTACAATAATAAAAAGGCAAGGAGGTGAAGAACAAAAAGTATCTGCTACCCAAAAACATCTCCCACAATAATATCATCTTTATCCTTTCATTTGCACAAGAAGAAGAACAAGAACAAGAAGAGATGGGAGTGGTGGTAATAGATGGATCCACGGTCCGTAACTTTGTGGAGAATGAAGCCCACTTCAAGAAGAGCGTGGAAGATACGTTCGCCAAGCTGGACCTTAACAACGACGGGGTGTTGTCCCGCTCTGAGCTCCGACGAGCCTTCGAGTCGCTGCGTTTGGTGGAAACCCACTTCGGAGTGGACGTCACCGCCACACCAGAGCAGCTGACTCAGTTGTACGACTCTATCTTTGAGTCTTTTGATTGTGACAAAAGTGGCACCGTTGATATTGAAGAGTTTAGAACTGAAGTCAGGAAAATATTGCTTGCGATTGCTGATGGGTTAGGATCCAGTCCCATCCAGATGGCTCTTGAAGATGATGATCAGAGTTTTCTCAAGCAGGCTGCCGATCTCGAAGCCTCTAAGCTTCAGTCTTCTGTTTCTTAACTAATTTAGATCCGTTTTCTATCTTGCCTGTCAAATCTTTTTATCTTTACATCTTATAAGGCTTTTGTTTGTTCCTACCTTCTTTATCTGTTTTTCAATATTTCAATAAATTTTGGCAATTTAATCTCTTCTCAGAGCTTGATTAGACTACTTTTCTTTTATTTACAAATTTATGTTTCTTGTTTTACAAAGTTGTAATTGTATTGTATGTAATGTTACTGGATCAAGAATCTAAAAGCTACCACTGGATTAGATACAGGAACGCCTATAATATTCTAAAAAATCCCCAAATATTTTCTGTGCGCGCTCCCTGGATTCCGTACCCTCTTCTTATTGCCATTTCTCCTTCACTTTTCTCCCTGACAGACATTGAAGTCGGTCCTTTGAAAATATAAATCTGCACAAGAAAATTCCTCCAATCACTTCAGTTAAATGCACAGATCAGTTCAACGAATTGTCGAGCCTTTTACTGCTTTTCAGCAGAGAGCAGTAGGAGAAAAACAAGAACAAGAAAGAAACACAGTATATAAACCAAAAACATCAACTAAACTTTCTATATAATCTCATTTTATATAAAAGTGACATAATTTAGAGCTCGTAATCAACATCATCATCATCCCCTTCATTTGAACTGGAGCTTTCTTCATCAGCCAGGCTTTCCATATAGCCAGAATGCGCTAGAGAAGTTGTAAATGAGTAAGATTTTACGCATGAGAACGTAGAAACTTAAGGCTGCAAATGCAAAGTTGAATTACTTGCACTATCATATGGCTGCAGCCAATCTCGAAGACAAATAAAGGCTTGCAAAGTCTTTTCTTTTAGCGAATTTTGACAAGGGCTTATCACTGGACAACCCATATTAAACATGCTATTCAAAGCAATTGTCTATAATGGAATTGTCAAAATATCACGAGACATTTTTGAAAGCTCTGGATATTTCACTGAGCGTGACCTCCAATATTCTAGGACATCAATTTCACTACTCAGATCATGGCTGGGCTCTTCTAAATAAATATCCAGCTCAGACCTCTTCACTTGATTCTGAAAACTGGTACTTTGGAATGTCTTGTAATCTTCAAACTCATCGCTGTAATATCCATCATAAGAGACATTAGAGGTAACAGCACTAATGCCAGAAAAGGAAGACGAGTCCTTTATGCACTCACTAAACAACTTATGAAGACTGTCAACAATGGTAACAATATACTGTTGAGCATCACTGCAATAAAGTTTAGTATAACAGTACTCAATAAACTTGACCTTGTATCGTGGATCCAAGATTGCAGCACATGACAATGTCAGGCTACATTCTGACCAATGAATTTCAATAACATTTCCTTTACCACACAGGTCATGAAATTTTCTGGGCCAGTCACTACTTCCAACAAGTTCTTATGAATCTTCCACAACCCCCTGAAATACAAATTAGCAGTCAGATATCTATTTCTTGAGAACATGTGAGCTACCTCATAGAAGGCCTTCAAAAATTTGCACAAGATACTAACTTTTTCCCACTCATATTCTGATAGGGTGTACATATACTTCCTGTCCTGTTTCCCCAAGTAAAGAAATGCCCTCTTATATTTGAAAGCAATTTCAAGCATGTGGTATAAAGAACTCCCACCTAGATGGACAATCAATACACAACTTTTCTCTAGTTTTCAAATCCAAAGTTTTAGCAATGATATATAAGTTCTTTCTCCTATGTGGAGATTGTTTCACGTACTTAACACCAAGACGGAGTTTTCCAATGATTTCCTTGATGAGATCAAAACCAGCTTGTACAATTGAATCCATAATTTGGGCAAAACAACGTAAGTTAAAAAGCATAACATTACAAGGAAGATACTTCTTCGCATCAAGACGTGACTTAAGCATGGAAGCCACGCAAGCATCAACTGACAAGCAATCCAATGTAATGCTCAAAAGTTTGTGTTCAATATTCCATTGGATCATACATGGCGTTATCTCATCTCAAATAGACAAACTATCATATGGAGGTGGAATGAGTTTGAATCGCAAAATCCTTTTCTGTAATTTCCACTCATGGTCTATAGTGTGCAGCTACACAGTTATAATGATCGTCAGCACTAGACTTCCACCTACAAGATGATAAAAATATTCGACCAGGGCATGTTGCCAGCAAAGCAAAAGCATTTTCCTTCTCATTGGCATATATGGACATTATATCCTTTTTAATGTTCCTTGCATTCATCATTTGTAATTCAGGGCGTGCAACAGCCACTAGAGCTCTAAAACCTACATTTTCAACCATCCTCAATTGTTTTCCATCAAGGACGACCATCATTCCTACGGCCCTATGAATCTCATCCAAATCAAATCTAGCATTCTTTAAGTATGTATTCCATCTGTCAAATTATCAGGAGAAAATGTAGATTCCTTTATTGCATGATTAACTCGCTTGATGCATGCTTCCATATGACGTTTCAAATGAGAAGTACCACCAGATGGTTTAGCTGAATAAACTTTCTTACAAGACTTACACATAGCCTTCATATCTCCATTTGGTAACATTGGAAGTTTCTCAAAAACTTCCCACACCCTAGACACTATTTTTGTCCGCTTAAAAGGGGTCTCGAGTTCTTCAGTGTCCACACTTAAAGCTTCAGTGCTTGCAATTGAAATGTTCTTGAAAAGACCTGTATGATTTACAGATGTTGAGATCCAGGACAATTACAAAAGAATGTTCAAGAAGAAGCAGAAAGTTACTGATATGTCACAATTCATTCATTTGAAATCACTAAAAGAATGACCTCAATTTATGAGAAGAGAAAAAAGATGTGAGAGCAAGTGGAATGAATAAAAGAACATCCTTCCAGAATTGTTACAAGAAAACAAAAAATATTGAAAAGAGGGACAAACATGGGCTTTCCAAATCCATTTTTAATCTATGAGCTTTATGCAGCCTGCAAAAAAAGGTCAACCTTTATGTGTTCAAATTTCAGTGCATAACTCTGGGCTATTTATGTAATCAGCTTCTCTGTAATGATTGGAGCAATAATGTTTTGGTTCTGGTTTTGAATTTTTTATCTTTATTGGGCCTTTAGCTTCAGTTGGGAGTTATTTAGTACTTGATATTCTTAATTTTGTATCTGGAGGCTAGTTCCTAATTAGATTGGATTGTACAACTCCAACTACTGTCCTAACGTAATGCCTAAAGAGTACTGTGAAGGCAACAAAAGGTAAAATAAGGCTTAGCAGCAAATAAAACTTCATACACACAGCATCAAGATCCTGAGCTTCTCATTTTGTTTTAATTCGCAAATGTCCATCTTCCCAACCATAATTGTCGACATAAACTCATAGAATTTTTCACTTTGAGCAAATAAATAATAGTTAATAATTCTAGTCCTATGTCAAGGCCAAATATGAAGGAACATATTCATACAAGCCCCCAGATGAAGTTCAATGCTTTGGACATTCAAATTTGAGACACAGAAACCTTTAGTAACAAAATGATAACTTGAACTTATCACCCTGAAATTGGGAGTGGGAAGGTGTGAAAGCCAATCACACCGTCAAAGATCAAAGTTGTAGATCCCTTCAAATTCTTGCATCGCAACTTTCAAAAATATAATAAGGATAATTTGAAAAATAACAGAAAGTTTTCAAAGAACTAAGGATTATTTTATTGTTTTTTGGTTGAAGTAAAGGCTAATTCTAACAGAATTTCTTCTGGCAGGCTCTGCAGAATGACCATGTAATTCATATTAGCCATCTACCCCTACTCTTTGTGTACGTAGTAAGATGCAATTAAAGAATCATCACTATCCCTTACTACTTGTGAAAACCCAAGGATGCCACATATAATAAACCTCCCCTATTCAAAGCTTCTACAGTTTGATATTTTAGGAAGGTAATACTAACAATCCAAAATTGACAATAATAGGATAAATCAGAAATAGAAATTGCAAAAGAGTATCATAACAAAGCAAAACCAGGGGCCTGCGTTGTTGCATCAAAGCACTTTTCAGAATTATACCAAGTATTTAAGACTGAAAACAATTTCCAAGTACATGCTGAGGCTTTCCATCACAAAAAAATGGATCAACTATCCAAAGTGCAATAGTTGGTTACTGCAAAAATAAACATGTAAAAAAAGAATTGACAAAGATGTACTTTGGATATACATTATACATTGGCAACAAAGGGTGAAAGTAAGGATAAATTAAAAAGTGAACGTAAAATCACCTTAAAAAGTTTTTAATTTTATAGGAAAACCCTTCACCTTGCCAACACACAACTTATCCCCTGAATTCTTGCTACACTATGCGGCTTGTTACATATTGCCAGAAAAATAAATAAAAGTTGAATTCGTCAGCAGTAAATTGTCAACCTGAACTAAACCAGAGCCATTGTACATCTGTTACCTTATCACACGGCTACTTTGTAAAATCACATGCTTTAATGCTTATCTGAAAACAGATGTAATTGAAAAGAATTGCTGATTCAAACAATCATAGTAAACATAAAATGCCCAAGCATAAAACTGCGAAAGGGTTAATGTTAATGGCATATCTAAAACTAGACTAAAAATAATTGTGATGGAAAAAAGACGGTAATTCAAGCTATTACCGTTGATCATATACACATGTAAAGAAGTTTAATCCCAGCTTGTTAAAGTAAAAAAGGAAATAAGACATACAAAGAGAATATGAATGCAACAGCCAGGTGACAAAAAAGGGGCAAATCCAAAAATCAGAGCCTCTAAATTTAATAGGGGCAATGAACAACCTTAAAAATATTGCTAAGAAAGCAAAATTACAGACTCTAATATCTTGCATTTGAAGACCGGAATAATTCAACAATCAGAAAATTCTTCACAGCCATAACAATATTGTGCCGTATTTATTGCAAGTTATAAATGATGCATAGAGAGCAAAAGCAGGGAAAAAAAAAAAAAAAGAAGGCTGACAAGAAGTGATTAATGGGAAGCAACACTATTCAACAAGAATAAGGAAGCTTCCATCATATGATAGTATAAGTTTCATCCTCAGAACCTCAACCCAGTAGGTACAGTAAATGGGAGAAAATGGTGACAGAGGAGAGAATTTGGGGCCATGAGAAATATATATATAATGATTATCATTAAGGTGCAGAGAATAGCACAAAGTTACAACAGAGGATGAAATGGCACCAAACAGTGATTTGAGTTGCAGAGTATGGAATAAAATGCAAATGCAATAATAGAGAGGTAAAGAAAAAGGGAAAAAGATCTAACCTTGAGAAATTAGGAACCAAAGCATCAAAGGAAATAGAAATATGAAGAGATGCCATTGATCAGGTGCCGAGTTACTGATCAGTAAAACAAACGGGGTTTTCTATATTGCAAAGAAACCCTAATCAATCCTAATAAGTGAGGTACTAAGTTGATCAACAGCAATTAAGATTTGATGAGCTAACTTCCTCATGTATCTCTCAGTTTAAAAAAGTAATTATAAGTAGTTAAAAAGGAGCACATAAGGAGTTGTGTGTCTATCAATGACAAAGAAGGAGAGAGCCGACGGATAAGGGAAAGCTGACGGTACCAAACGGAAACAAGTGGCAAAATGGCAAGGAGGAAAAGAACATGTAAAACCGACAGACCCCACATCACATAAAATGGGACCCATCTCAACCTCTCCAATTCCTTCCTAACTCTGGACACAACCAAAACCAAACTATAAAAAAAGTTCACTCCAATGTAGAAGAGGAGAGAAGAAAAAGGAGGCTCAACTCGAGAAGAAATGTCGTCCACCCAAAGACACCACCAAACTTACTGGTGTCACGAATGCGACATGAGCATCCACCTCCTCGCCACCGCCGCCAATAATCCTACTCCCTTTTGCCCTCACTGCCACCGCGACCATCTTGAACTTATGGACGACCCCACTCCCATCACAGCCACCGACACCAACACTTTCTTCCTTGACAGTCCCTCCTTTCGCCGCTTCTTTCTCCCATTTTTCGCTGACAGCAATCCTTCTGGTGACGATACTACTATCGACTCCGTCATTCCCACGATCAAAATAACATCTTCCTTTCTGGACGACGACCCAGTACTTCTCTGTGCAGTCTGTAAGGACCAGTTCGTCATCGATGTTGATGCAAAGCTACTTCCTTGCAACCACTTGTTTCATCCTGACTGCATTCTCCCATGGCTTAATTCCAACCACGACTCATGTCCTCTCTGTCGCTTCCAGCTCCCGAAACCATCAAAGAATGATACTTCGGCGGCCACTACTACAAGTGAGTCTTCTTCTAATTTGTCATCGCCGTCGCACGTGATAGAAGTGAGAGAACCTCGAAGTTTTATGGACTGCACAGGCAGCTTTAGTAGAATTGCGATGGAAATGGGATTTGCCAATCAGGATGCTGCTGATTGCGCTTTTCCTGATGTTGGGGTTTTGTCCAATTTTCTTCCTTCACATTTTTAGTTAGGTAACTTCCATTTCTTATTCATGCCTGCAATATGCATTTTTATTTTATCTTCCCTTTGCCTATTGATTCTATTCATTGCATGTTCATTTTGAATGGGAAGTGAATTAATAGACTTTGCTTCTCAATTTCAATATATATATATATATATATATAGGGACTTTGCTCTTCAATTTTCAATATATATATATATATATATACATATAGGACTACTTGATGTTTTTCAGATTTTGAGAAAACTGTTAAATCTGAAATGGCAAGCTACCAGGATGTTATATATATATATATATATATATAGGACTACTGATGTTTCAGATTTTGAGAACTGTTAAATCTGAAATGGAAGTACAGGATGTACTACTTCAAACCTCCAGTGGAATTAGACTACTGTTAGGTTCCTTTTCCACCCAGTGCCCAATACGTTTTTTTTTTTTTAAGTAACATTTACAACTGATCTTAATCTCTGAAGTCTTATAAAGAGCATTGCTTTTGCCCTTCTTCATACCATTCAATTAAACAGACACAGGGAAGAACAATAGTTTTTTCGGAGAGACGAACTTTTTTTTTCCCATTAATGTTGTTCTTGGAATTTGTATTATGTGGTTACTTCCGATGCGGTGCTTTTGTGGAAAATTTTCTGTTACAGATTATGAATATCTTAGTAAGATTCTGGTTTCAATGATTAAGAGAATTTTGTTGATTTTTACTTGCACTGAGTATTCTTCTATCTCTGAATATGCAACAAGACTCTGTTTTATTAGCTTTCTGTTCTCCATTTTCCTTGAATTGAAAGAATGTTTTTTGAATGAAAGACCATGTTGAAGGCTTTTGGATTAGATTACAAGTTCTAAGCAGTTTTCTTGTCAAAATATAAGTTACTACTTTCAATAATCATAAAATTTTGAATGCATTATTTTATTGTTTGCCTAAATAGTGTCTCTGGTATGTAGTTGTTTTGTGTGGGATTTTTGCATCTGCCTGCGACCTAATTTCTAGTTTTCATGTATAATCATGTTATTTTCTAACTAATTTCAAACAATTCGGTTCATGATTTAAGATTATGTTAAAATGTCTCTGTGATTAACACATAGGGCTCATTTAAGATTAGACATTTAGATAGATCTTGACTCTGGAATCAATTCTAGATTGGATCAGTTCATCTCCTTAGATCTTGACCCAGGAGTCAAATTCTAGTTGAATCATGTAAAGAATGAACAGAAGTAATTCATCTTCTTGCATGAGTATTTACAGTAAGAACCATATTTTATTTTATTGTAGAAGTCTAGAACATTCAGGACTTGTGCACGTAAATGCAGACCTTCAAAAGGTAAAAGTTTGAGGATTTACACCTAATTGATATGCCTGAAATAATAATGAATCAATGATGACATTATCTTGCTACCTTGAAACTGTGGCTGAGAATTTTTAATGGTGGCTGATGAATATGTCTTTGTCGGACTTTTGAATGCAGGTGATTTGAGTATTACTTGAGGGCTTTGATGGTTTCGTTATCTTAAACCGGTTTAATGAAGTGTAAATCAGCAGCGAGTGATTATGATACTACAAATACTATTGATGGTTTGAAGGGCTTACTTGGTTTGTTATCGTGCATTGCTTTCATTATGTATAAATCAGCATCATACAAATATAGAGAACTTTTTACGGGTGTGCACCCCCCCCCCCCCCTAACAGTACTGTATAAGCTACGAATATCAGCTTTTTGAGACTGGATTTTGACCAATAAATGGAAGGGTAAGGTGCAACTCTGGCTTCTAAATGCAATTAGCATGGAAGTTTGTTGAAATTGTAATTCTTGCTCTTACAGACAACTATATTGCTATGATATTGTTCCTTCAATCATTTTTTCTTGGCTTGGGACACATCAACTTTAATTAATTTGTTAAAAAGTCCACCTAAGATTTTCTTTTGTCTGTTAAAAGGTCGTTAAGTGTTTGGGATCTTTACTCTGATGGAATCATTTTATCCTGTTGTACAAAAGATAATGATGATGATTATAAATTGAGGATAAAGGCATTTTTACGTGAAGGTCAAATTAGATCTTGATATTATTAGCTTAAGATAATGTATTATAAAGATGCGGTTGCAATTGCAAATTCCGTGATTAATTGGCTAATGATTGTTTGGCAGTGTGGTGACGGTGACATTAAGCAAATGTACAAAAGAAACTGAGGTGGTGCCACATAACATAGAAATTTAGAATTAGGAAGGAACAAAATGAGAAGAAAAACTTGGAAGTTTCCCCTTTTTCTTGAGATTGCTATGATAGCAGACAATATAACTCGTGTACTTCAAGTAATCCTTATCATCATTCTTAATGGTCCCATTAAATAATGACTTATCATTGTTTCAATTCGTAGGGGAATAATTAATTAAACACCCTATTTGAACCAATAAACCCACGTGAAGTTTAAGCCTAACAGAGTTCACATAATGGTGATTAGTGATTAGTAATATGGTTCTGGAACTCAAGATTGACCATGTTGTTATGACTTCCCAAGAACAGCAACTTCGACGTACCGTCTTAGGTAAAAGATAAGTATTCTGGAATATAAATACGACAAGCGAAATTTTCAACAAGCATCCTATGCGTGTAGCTAAGTTGTATGGAAGGGATTAAGGATAAACAATTAAATATTAAGTAAAATACCCTGCACCTGCATGCCTGGCTGTTCTAACTTTGAAAAGTCTTCTAACTTTGAAAAGTCTTCAAGTCAGTCAAACTTGCATGGCTAGTCTCCAACTTTCTCATCTATTTATAAATCTCTCTTCATCTCCTTCTCTCTTAAACCAAAAATTTTCTCTGATCAGCTACAACATCAAGGATTCTATTAACTTTGATTAAGCTCTTCCAATTTCATTTTTGTTTCAACTCTATATACAAGGCTAGCTAGGCATTAATTGATGATGACGATAATGGAAAGCAGCTTAGGAGACATGCTATTGAAGATAGTCATGTTTGCTGTGGTGCAAGCGCTGGTTTATATCATACTCTCAAAATCATCCAACATCTTCTCCAAGACAGTTAAAAGAACATATAGCTTCAGGCCAGCGCGGTCTGTTAGTATTCGCCGGATTCTTGCCGTTCTAGAAGACATGCCTGCCGGTGGTGAGCTATCTCCTCCTCCAAAGAATTCACTATCATCTTCAACTGTGGAAAGGTCAAAGGGCAAAGATCAAAGGTCGTAGTCGCCAAAATGGATCTTGTCCAAAATTATGCGTCTCTTGAATCTTGATTTCTTGGAAAGTTTTATAGTTAATTTGTATTGTTTGTGTATAACTGTATTTGGATGATTCTTTTGTTCATTGATCTCTGCTATTGTAATCTTTATATAAGATTAGAGTTCCTATTGATATATACATGTAATTTAAGGAGTCTTTTGCTTATTAATGGTTTTTTTTTTTTTTTTTATTTTGTTGCATTCGGATTGAGTGAAAGAAAATGATAAGGATAACAGAAAAGATGACATCTTTCCTTAATTTTCAAGCTCTTTGTCCCCGCCAACCAAAGACGTAAGGGCATTGAGATTTTATGATTTCTGAAATAGAAAGAGCTTTAGAATGATGCCATTGTCTTTCTATCACGCACAATTTGGCTCTTGCTTTTACAGAAAAGAAAGTTCTTCCTGGCCTGGTGAAGGATTTGGATGCCTCTGATAGGAAGGATTTGTATTTTTTCAAGATGTTGGTCTTCTATTGAAAATCTTGAACAAAAAATACCCAAGCACAAGTGAAATTCCCTCTTTCTTCTCAGATCAGACATGAAACATTTTTCCAGCTGTGATTAATTGGATGAAGGAAAATTGATCTGGACCCTTATCAGTAATTACCAATAATTGGAGCGTTCTCAAAACTTAACAGAAGTTTAAGGATTCATGTTGCAACGAATGACAAATTCACTAATCATAATTATATCGTTAATTTGCATCAGAGCAAGTCCACAAGACAACAACTTTCTATCTGGGCTACATAATACAAGTCTTTTGAGCTGCCAGAAATATCCTAGCTAGAGCTTCTTGGTGTAGGATGGGGGATTCATAAACGAGGAAACATTCTCCTTTTACAGTATATCCTCAAGAATAGAATCCAATATATAGGTAAAGAACAGAACTTTAATCTGCATTCTACTTTTTCTTTTTCTTTTTTTCTTTTTTCTCTTCTTCCCTCTCAAAGTATCATAATTCAATTAATAATGAGAATGATCATCACAGTAGTCCATATTTTATGAACACACATGGATTCCAAAATTTGAAATGGGTTGATTTTGCTATATAATTGAAACTGTCTAGCTAATGGATACAAGTGCACGACCAATCACATTCATTGGTCCTCACAGCAGCAAATTAATTAATCTTTATCTCTCACAAGTATCTCCACCCAAGTTGAGTGACAAAAACCTGCAAAATATATAGTACAAGTCCTGCAACTAATCTATATTTGAATCCCATATATATATATCGCAAAATAATATACAAGTCCTGCAACTTAATCTATATTGCATGCCCATATTATATCTCATATTATTAGTAGTATATATATAAAAACTCCAATTGGGCTAAGTCATTTTTGCTTTCTTGTGAATATATTTGGAGTAAGTAGATTCTTCAACTTATTATGAATAGCCAGAATGACTCTATGCATCTTAAAGAAAGCCATGCCTCCTTCTCCACGACCCATCCAATATTTTAATATGCTGATATATTTATTTCAATTCACCACTTATATCAACCACATTATGTAATATATATTTGTGTAAAATTGCATGCTTCTAACCATATTAAAAAGGCAAAAACACGCTAACAATTAATCTATGCGGCCAGGCGAGAAGAACTATGGGTTCCTGAATGCACAAATCTGCAGTGTCAGCATATATATATATAAACTCCAACTTGCTAAGTCAATTTTTGTTTTTCTGTAATATATTGGAGCAAGTAAGGCATTCTTCAACTATATATATAGCCAAATGACTCTTATGCAACTAAAGAAAGGCAAATAGCCTCTTACTCCACACGACCCATCAAATATATATAATTATGCTGGCATATATTTATTAATCAATTCACCACTGTAATCAACCACATATGTATATATATTTGTGTAAAATGCATGCTTCAAACCAATTAAAAGGCAAAAACAAACAACAATAATATGCGCAGGACGAGGAAGAACATGGGTTTCCTGTGACAAAATCTGAGTGTCAGGCATGATCTTTACACGAGTCCTGTGTGTTTCTGAATTCTGATATTTACTGTAACAACAGAATAATACGGTTTTAGCTTTCGTAAGCTCTCTCTACTATCTATCACCTTCACGTGCGCTTTCAAGTGTACTACAAAGGCTTATAGATGTACCTCTTCATCACTTCAACAATAATACATGTCACTCTACCCTTAAATCAACATCTTTAACTATCTTGATTATCATCTGATAACGTGACTTAAAATTTTTTTTTTTTTTAATGGAACAATTGTTAATTTAAATCCTTTCCTTCCTCCTTTATTTTGTCTTAACTGTTTCATTCTTTCTTCAACACCACCAACCAGACAGTGAATTATATGATAATAATTACCAAATGGCATTATAAAAACATCTAATATATATATATATACACGTAAGATTCAGATCAGTGGGCAAAGGGCACTAGGCCAATTGGCTGCTTCATTGACCCTTATTATAGTTTATTATTATTGACCTAAAACTATCCTGCACAAGAAAGCAGCAAGCTTTATCCATTAATTTTTTTTAATCAAGTCAATAAGCAAGATTTTCCTCTCTATTTAAGTCGCCATATTCCTTGCTCCAAACCTAACAACCTCTCTTTCTTTTCTTGCACAGTACTTCTCAAAATTATAATTACCATGGAATTGGAAGACATAATAATGAGTCCTAATGTTTCAGCTCCTTCCCCGAAGCTAGCCATGCACAGAGATTCCCATGTAATATCCAAATTCAAGCCTAAAGTTCGCATAATTCACATATTTGCACCAGAGATAATAAAGACTGATGTTGCTAATTTTAGAGAGCTTGTTCAAAGACTCACTGGAAAACCCGGTGATCAAGAAAGCAACAGCAACAAGAAGAAGAAAAAGAAAGCAAGAAATAACACTGCAAACTGCAGCAAGAAAGCACTGATGATGCAAAAGAAGAACAAGAAAGGTATGCAGTTGCAAGACATGTCTCCTACTTTGATACAATGTGAAGAGAAACTTAAAATGGAAGAAGAAAATGGGATATGGGGAAGTAGTACTGAGAGTTCAAGTAGTTTCCTTGATGGGTTTGCAGATTTCAATGGCTTTATACATGATTCCACTGATAACTTTTCCTTGCCTCCTAATTCTCTCTTCTCATCACATGGATTTGTTTGAAGACATGAACCTTGCTTGATATATATATATATATATATATATGGCAAAAGGTTGGGCTCATTTAATTTCTTGATTTTAACTATGTTGACTTTAGTTACTATTATCTATTTATCTCATGTTAGGACACATATAGAGGTGCAGGGTATATGTGTGGTTGCAAATTTGGATGGTTCTGTTCTGTTCTCAGTCTTCTCACATGTCTTAATTTCTAGTGAAAAAGGTGTCTGTCACTAGTTCTTAGGGATTGATTTCAAGAAAAAAGGGATTGAGATACTTATTATTTGTCCTTTTTGTGTTTCTGCTTGTGCTGAGTCTCTGACTCACCATCACTTCTCATTGATGTACAATATAGACATGTACATTTTCTGACCTTCTTTCTCCTAGCAACTGATGAATTTGATCTTTTTTTTTTAATTTTAATTTTTAGTTTAGCTAGCAAAAATCCCCTCAAGAATGTGTGTGTGTGTGTGTGTGTGTGTGTCTGTTTTTCTTTCTTCATTTTCACAAATCATAAATTGCACCAAAAAAAAAAAAATTAACGTTCAGGTTACAGAATGTAACTGATGAGAATCATGCTTTGTAATTGGCCCTTTCTGATGAGAAGTCCTCGTCAATCCATGTGCCCACCAACCATAAGAAATGAAATATAAATTACAAGGTCAAAATTATAGATACTAATATAAAGAATTAATGAAAATGAACTCAAATACAGAGAGAAAATCATATAATAGATCATTTAAGCTTTGGGAGGAGATTATAAAATATGGTTGAGATAAAAAGCCTAAAACAAGCATTGACTTCCACTTTGTCAACTCAGTTTGTGACTTTTTCCCCCCTTTAAAAGAAAGAAAATGAAACCCCTCCAACCAATCAATCTTGTTTGATTTTGAAAAATATTTTGCAAAATATTTAAGGCCAATGCAGTAAAGATTTGGTAAAGAGCAGAGGTTTACTAGTTTTAGAGGAACCTTCCTCTTTGGTTCGATTCTCTCTTATTGCTAATAGAATAGAGTTCACTCCACTACATAAAGTTTCATAAGTACAGAACATTCAAACTATTAAGTAAAAACATCTATGGTTACACTTTGATTTAGAGCTGTACCTGTATCTGTATCCGTATCTCATAGTGTAAATTTTTATAAGCTTACACAATATAGAAACGGGTGAAAGAAATTATGCATTTTTTACTAAAAATGCATTTATTACAACCTTCATATAGAAACAGATATAAAAACCTCAAGTCTATTATTGTTTTAAGTTATGGATTGCCTGTTGCCATATAGATACAGTAGCTGCCTCTGATGAATTTCGAGGAAGTTAGCAAGCAGAAGAGTAGATGAATTACAATGACATCACGTGAGCAAGAGAATGAAAATGGCTAGCTTCTGATCTGTATCACCCCATCATCCTGAAATCAATTTGACAGAGTCAGATTAACTTTTCTCCTTGGAATTAATAGTAGCCTTTAAGAAGATGATACAATATGTACAAATGGTAACTCTTTAAGCATGAACCCATTGTTCATTGAAATAACTTCTTTTCAGAATAAGGAAACATGTCAGGCCAGATGATCTCATTTCAATGACTATTCATGATTAGGAACCAAAAATGATGAAAAATAATCTTAGAATTAGCCAAAGGACGAGATTGTTATCCTTAGAGATAGTGATAGCATAGTGTAGAAAAAAAAGTGTCGATCTGATAAAACAAAATAATGAATTCCTCCAATAATGAACTTCCAATATCAAGGTAAAAAGGGGCAGGAAAAGTTTCCTTCAACATGGACAGTAAACAGTACACACTAAAGGAAATCTTCAAACTAAAGAATACACAAAATAATAGTTACAAAGATGTCCAAGACGTACCAAGTCTTATCCACCAATATGTATCATAGGTCTATTTGCTGTTTTTGCAATGTCAAACATTCCGGCATGTGAAGCTTTCTTCTTTTTGACCTGAAGCATGCAAGAGAAATTCTTTGAGACAGCAACAAAAGCTAGAGAACTGAGCAAAGCAATAGTGCATGTGAATTAACAGAAATGCAATTTTGGTATCTTCAGAAAAACCAAAGAACAATCTATACCATCATGCAAGAGCAACTTTTGAAAATCCTATCATTTCTATCTGTAAATACAAAACTACAAACTGCATACCGCTGACCCAATTATTTCCCTAAGCTCATGTTCATCAGCACCACGACGAAGGGGATCTCTTAAGCTGACCTGCAAAAACAAAAGCATTAGTAAAAATTAAAGTGACGCATTGTAATCAAAAAACTGGAAGAGTCTTAACTAACTTTATTCTAAGCATTCTGCATATGTTTCCAATAAACTCCAAGCTAGGACTGCTATGATAGGGTACCTATATCCTTCCGCCATTTCTCTAGGCTATTTATTGTGTTCTATTTGAATTTAACTATAAAATTTTATTGGTCAATTTTCCTTTCCAAATTTCTTCTCTTGAAATCCGTACTATAGTTACTTCTCTACCATCAATTATGACTAAAGCAAGGTGTTATTGAATGGTCAAACTCATAATTTTTCACAAGTTCTAACTTCAAACTTGAAAATTACCCTCAATTATGAGAGTTCACAAATATAGGAACATGAAGACATGAATAACTAATTCAAGTAACTAGAAAGAGATCAAGTTAAGAAATAAAATTCAGGCTGATGGCAAAAGTGATAAAGATTTAAGAGGATAAGAGATGGTTCACCTCTGAAGGACCAAAGAGGCACACTTTAAAGTTTCCATCAGCCAAAAGTCGCAATCTATTGCAACCAGCACAAAAATGCTCCGTCATTGATGTTATAAAGGAAACAGTGCCTAGATGCCCATCTATCTTGAAGTTCTTGGCTGTATCTGCTGGGTGATCTTGAAGTCTCTTTGGTTCTGTGAACTTCTTTGCCTGCTCAATTACAAGGAGTTACTGCAACAACGTACGAGTGGTACTCAGAAATCTCCATATAAAGTCACCTGTTAGAATTCTACCTTACCACTATATCCAACATTTCTGAGTAGGGAACAAGTTTCTTGACATTCCAAACATTTCCATCAAAAGGCATGAACTCAATGAACCGAATATTAATCTGTTTGTCACGTGTCAGCTCCACAAAATCACAGATCTCATCATCATTGAACCCACGCATTACAACGCAATTTACCTGACAGAAAACAGTAAACAGGAAAAAATATATAAGCTATGTATTTCCAGAAGGCCTTAAAAATAAATAATGGAAGACTTTTCCCATCTTCAAAACAGTAATAACATATTCTGCTTGCACGAGAGCAAAATTTGAAGAAGCATAGTTTAGAGGGGAAAAAAATGAAGCTGAAAATAGCAAAAGGTGCATACTTTAACAGGATTATACCCACAGTCCAGAGCAGCATTAATTGACTCCATAACCTTCTCATGCCCTTTACGCCTGGTCATAAATTCAAATTTAGCTGGGACCAACGTATCTAAGCTGATATTTAAAGAAGTTAGCCCACTTTCTTTCAGCTTTGGGAGTTTCCTTGCGAGAGTAATTCCATTAGTTGTCATGGCTAATGTCTTGAGTCCTTCCAGGTTAGATAGCTGTAAGCATATCTCTTCGATATCTTTTCTAATGGTTGGCTCACCACCAGTCAAACGAATTTTATTCACTCCAGAACTGACAAAGAGATTTGCCAAACGAACAATCTCATTCTGTGAGAGTAATTGAGGGCTGGGAGTGAGCTCCACACCCTCAGCTGGCATACAGTACTGACACCGCAAATTGCAACGTTCTGTCAAGGATATCCTCAGGTAGGTGTGCATCCTTCCAAATGAATCAATTAACATATCAGAAACAGAATTAGGATTCAGCAGATTTTCTGACAACTCTGCACAAGAAGTTGCATATGCTCTAGGCACTGATTTATCTAGTTGATTACTACTTGAACCTAGAGAATTGTCATTTCCTATTGAACAAGATTGAACTTGGCAATCAACCTGCATATGAAGCATAACAATATTAGTGTTCCAAACTTCAACATAAAGACTCTGCTTAGGCATAATAGCAATCTAGAATAATAGGTGAATATTAAAATATATATATATTAAATCTTACTATAGTATTTATATATATATATAATAGAATACATACTATTATTAGTATATTATATAAACAACACATCACACCCATCACAGCATTACCCCACTCCAGTTATACTGGTCCATTATAATGCCCTTGTACCTAAGTGATGCCAGACACAGCTTGTACGAACTCTTGAATTCAATACTAACTACTTATCTTCGTATAATTATTGAGAGGAATGTATCTGAGATCAAAAATGATTAGCTTGTGGAGTGCATCACTTTCTTCATATCTTACCTGTACATACCCTGCTTACTTTTGGTCTGTACTGTAACATACTAGGACACAAGTGTTCCATTCTCAGGCACCATCTAGCTTGAATATGGATTTCTAGTTTCATAAAGAAAAAAAACTCAAGATACTGATGACCTTTAAGTACTAGCTCCAATCAAAGCTTAGAAAATTAATTAGCATACATGTATAGGAAGCTACATTTAAGGGTTGAATATAAGTTTCCTGTTTGCCATGGCCTAACTCTATTTATCAGCAGCACCGTATAAAAAATTATGTGGGAGATTATTATTATTATCAATATTATTATCTTATTATCCAATTGAAGTATATATATCCAATTAGGAAGAATTTCAATGACAATTTTGTACAAAAAAAGAAACTGAAATTTAAAAGCAAAAGTAGAAATTAAATAAACATACGAGAAAGAAACTGGAATTCTTGAATCCCAGATGCCAATTAGCAATCTTTGACACGCCCCGCCTAATCATGGCTGCTGACCGCAAAAGGAAAATGAAAGTACTGTCCAGTTATCCCCTCAACGATAACGAAAGTAACAAATGAAAAAGACAGAACGTTCAAGCTTCAGATAACAAACCAAGGAATTAGAGAAGAAAAAAATATGATAAGAATTTCAAACTTGTGGATAAGCACGAATTTACATGGTATTGAGCAGAGGAGAAAGAAGAGGAAAAAAGGAACTTTGGGTGTGTGATTGTCCCAAGATCCTTTTAAAAAATCCAGCGCTATATAACCATTGAAAGCCAGCGAGAATTTGCGTTCGCGTTAACCTTCCCATTTTGGCGGTGGTGTTCTTTAGCTGAGTTTACTTTTTTTAATCTTAAAAAAAAAGTGTCATCTACCAGATAGAGGAGAAATTGACATGAATTAGCCAATAAAAAAATACCAGATTATGATCAAAACAGTTGAATAATACTCTCACACAAATAGCGTTCGGTTGCCAAAGAGTAATTTAGAACAGTAAGATAAATATACTGACCTTTAGTTGCGTGAGAAGAGGCAATATCTTCAAGGTAGACGACAATGAACAAAGAGCCAGAGAATGACTTAAGAGGCGGGAGGGAAGCTTCATGTGCCGAAGCATCTTGGGCTACAGCCGCCTACTTGGGCTTGGTTTTGTTATATGTATGGGCTTGGTTTTGTTAATATGTATATATATATATATTATATATATATATATATAATATTATATTATATATATATATATATATATTTTTTTTTTTTTTTTTTTTTTTTTTTTTTTTTTGAGAATAATGGCCTGGTTTGTTATATTTTTAATTTTTTTTTTAGACTTTGAGGTCAATTTTAGATTAAAAAACGAGTTTGATAAAATACAAAATAAAGATATATAAATAAGTACAAATTTAATAAATATTTATAGAATTGATTTATAGATTAATATGGTCAACTATTTTAATTAATTTAAAATAATCAAATTAATATGATTTTTCTATTTCAATGAATTCAAATAAATTTTTTCAAAGTCCAGCATTATTAGCTTATAAATTAGAAAAAAATAATTAAAATTAGTTAGAAATCAAAAAGTAAGGTATCATTTATTTCTTATTATCTACTTATTTTAAAATTAATCTTTTAATATCCTATCTTAATTATCAATATTACTCTTATTCATCTCTCTTATTTGGTAAATTTAGTCCCTTATGTTTAACTGTGCTAAGCTATTTAATCCTCCATTAAAAAAAAAATATCATTTTTACTCTTTTAATAATTCAATAGTAAACGTGAGTGATTAAATAGTAATATTATATTAAAGTAATCAATCATCTTAGGATATTTAATTTTTAAAATGGCACATTTTGAATAAAAGGATAATAATTTAAGGATGTTAAAGAGAGATTATAAATATATTTTATCAAATAAAGGGATAAAACTATAATTATAATTAAATATGAGGGGCTAATAATTATTTAGTCTTATAACATAGGTTTTGATTGCAGGGAGGAGTTAAAAAATAAAAGAAAAACGTTGTCGTAGTGGGGGACATGGCCTATATTTTTAGCGGAGATAATATGAACCAGATTCTCCTGGTGAGGTGCGCAAAACCGGCGGTGTCCAACCAAACTGCATTATGCGAGCATCCGATACCACGCACGATCTCGCACTAGTGGGCGGAGCTGGAGTCTGCATTAATCAGACACGAGCGCCTCCTCGCGATTTCTTAAAATTATCAAGTCACAGAACTTTTAAAACCCTGATTGGCTTTGCTTATCATCTCAACAGAAATATCAAAACTTCAAATCATCAAATAAAAAAACATTGAGCAGAGCTGGAAAGAGTGATAGAGAAAGAAACGACCAATATAGCGCAGATTACACTGAGATAAATGGCAGCAATTAAAAAGTTCAAATATCAAGGCTGAACAAAAAAACAAGAAAGATAAACCAAAGTCTAGCTACATCAAATCAAATCAAGATTTAAAACGGAAAAAAAAAAACTACAAATCAAAAAATTGGAGCTCGAAAAGAACAAAAAAACGGTGACTTACTGTAAAGTGATGGAGGCGGTTGGTTGGCGTGGCTATTCGACGTTGAGTGGCGCGAAGGGAATGGCACGAAGAGGAGATTAGCTTCTTCCGGATTGGAGTTAAAAGGGACTGTTTTGTGGAGCAGAAGAACAGAGACAAATATTCTCAAAAAAGAAAAAAAAAGAAAAAAATGGTTAAGGTGGGGTCAAAAATGGAAATTTGACTGACTTTAGGTATAGGGCCCATTATTTATAAACTAGTTTTTATGAATCCGATGCACGTGCACTTGTTTTTCATACGCGTGATTTAATTTCTTTTATGTATAATATTACATTAAAAATTTTCTGTTTCTTAGATTTAAATTGTGTTTGTAAACTTTACGATTCATGAAGCAATCGTCTGATTAATTTTTTTATTTATATAAAAAGTGAAAGATATCGAGTTCGAGTTCTCTTGACTCTATTAATTTTTTTAGAAAATGTTAAATTTTAAATTTTAATTTAATTGTTTAAAAAATAGAAATTTATGATTATTTTAAAAATAAAAAATGTTGTAAAGAATAATGTTATTTGGTAAAAAAAAATATCATCAAACATGTGTGCTTTAAAAAAAAAAAAAAAAAAAAAAAAAAAAAAAAAAAAAAAAAAAAAAAAAAAAAAAAAAAAAAAAAAAAAAAAAAAAAAAAAAACCAAACATGTGTGTGTAGGTTGACTATTATTATGCACCGATAAGGAAAAAATCGAGAACTTCTGAACATTAAAAGGTTGGACCAAACTTTTTAATACTTGTCAAAATTAAAAATAAAAACTCAAGAACAGAATTTATTTTTTATCATCACTCCAGTTAATTGTGCGTTGATTAATTGATTTATTTCTAAATATTATTAAATTTGACTTATTCATCTGCCTTATTAATTCGATAATTTGAGTAAGTTCTTTTAATTATAAAAATTTTTATTAACGAGATAAATAATAATTGAAACCTACTCATATTTTCTATTCAGAATTTATTGATTTATTTCAATAATTTAGGCCTTCCAATAATTAAAAAAAATTACACCGAAAAATAAAAACTCCTCTGGACCATCAATTGTAGTTAATAAATAAATATTTCATAATTACTTCTTAAAACTATAAATATACGTTTCCTTACCAATATTATAAAATAATATAAATAAATCAAATTGCTAAAAATTATATAAAAAATCGTTACCAAAAAGCTTTTTTTGCCGTACAATTCTCAATTATACCCAAAGGGCAAGGGTCGAACGACTGAAAGGCCACGAGGGAAATTGGCAGGATCGAATGACTGAAAAGCCAGAAGGCAAATTGAGATTTAAAGACGTAAGCAGGGGTATTAGTGGAATGATGTTCTCTGACCGGGCGGTTTAGGCCCAAAAAAAAAAAGGAGACGGAAGAAGAAGAAAAAGCAAAACCAGAATTTCAGTTTTTTACATTTGATTAGTAAATAAATTCGTTTGTATAAATTATTACCAGCCAAGCCACCAAACACTTCTATTTTGTTTACGACTTCTGCCTTTGGTTTCGCAGTAATCGCAAGGGTCCTCTGACTCGGTATCGTCCTCCTTTCTCTGCAATTTTTTTTTCTTTCCTTTCTTTGATTTCCCAGCAGGTGCTTGCCATTCTTGCACGCGGCTAGCATTTTCATTGGAACGATTAAGATCTAAAATTAACTTTCTTTTGGTTGTCGAAGCATACAATTCTTTCTCTTGGATCGGTTTATATCTTTATGGATTTATTTGAATTGTGTTTTTTTGGTGATGGCAGGTAATTCTAAGTGAGTAAGCAATGGTGTTTTTCAGAAGCGTTTCTCTGCTCTCTCGACTACGTTCTCGTGCTGTAAGTTCTCTCTTTCAATTGCTGGTTATTGTTCCATTGATTGAGAATCCTTTTTTCATATAAAAGGCTTTATTTTTTATTTGTACTTTATAGATAAAGGATTTTTTTTTTTTTTTTTTTTTTTTGTAAATATTTGGGGTTTTTAACAGGGGTTTCATTTTTTTTTTTTTTTTTTTTTTTGGTAATATGTAAATATGTTACAGGTTCAACAATCTAATCTCAGCAATTCCGTAAGATGGCTTCAGACTCAGGGCTTGTCTGATCTTGTAATTACCTCTCTTTGCTTCTTTATCCATCTATATGCTGGGTTCAGTCTAAGAGTTTCTATGTGTTTTAACTTTGGAATTTTTAGTTCATTCATATGTACTATTAAGTTTTAAACAGAATAGTTTTGTTTACTTGATGTTTGGTTGAAGATTTTTATTTTCTCTCTCTCCTATTTGGAAATTTAGGACCTTCATTCTCAGCTGAAGGAATTGATCCCAGAACAGCAGGTCTCTATTACTGCCTGGCTTTTTAATGTGTTTCTTTCTTTATAGTTGGGGTGCTTATCAACTGTGAGAAATTTACTTTTTTTTTTTTTTTGGTTCCAGGAGCGTCTCAAGAAACTCAAGACAGAGCATGGAAAGGTTCAACTGGGAAATATTACTGTTGACATGGTAAAGTTTCTACCTTTTGATTTTATATCATCGACACATGTAGTTTTCAGTTTTCTTTTGTTTTTATATCATTGTATTATTATAACTTATCGCTGAAATATTTGTGCATTAAACTTGGGAAGGTACTTGGTGGGATGAGAGGAATGACAGGATTGTTATGGGAAACCTCCTTACTTGATCCAGATGAGGTACAATATTCATTTATTCATTATCAGTTTCATAGTCATCAATGGAGTTCTTATTGTTCGTAGATTTGACAGTTAGTTTTCTGTTTCTCAGGGAATTCGCTTTAGGGGTCTGTCAATTCCTGAATGCCAAAAAGTGCTACCAGCTGCAAAGCCTGGTGGAGAACCTTTACCTGAGGGTCTTCTCTGGCTTCTTTTAACTGGGAAGGTGCAGTTTTGTGTTTGATAGAAGAATCTATCTTAAGTTTTATTCTTAATGAATTCTATGAACTTTGTGTTGTGTTACAACATTTAACACTTGTTTTCTCCTTTCTTATATTTTAGGTACCAAGCAAAGAGCAGGTTGATGCATTGTCGAAGGAATTACGTGACCGTGCCACGGTTCCAGGTCTGTAGCTTATGGTTTTCTTTTATATTGCTTGTGAATTGTTCAGCTGTTGTATATTTAATATAGAGTACTTGTAGCAGCTGATCTTATTGAATGTGTTTTATTCATTTCTTGTAAATAATGAAGCTGTTGAGTTTATTTATAATATTAATGAGAACATGCCAATTTTAATTTTGAATCCCTATATTTATTTTATACCTGGTCTTCATTTGGCATGTTTTCTATGATGATGGACAAATCAGTTCATTTTTCTTGCAGAGTATGTGTACAAGGCCATTGATGCTTTGCCAGTCACAGCTCATCCAATGACTCAGTTTGCATCTGGTGTTATGGCCCTTCAGGTTGGGAAATGTTCTAAACATAATATCTTTATTCATATGTATCATTATAAGTATCTCTCTCATCCCTTTCCTTTTTTCCTTAATTCACGTTTTCTTGACAGCTATAGTCAAGCATAATTGATTTGACTGTTAACTCTTTTGGTTTTGCTGCTACTAGTATAACTATTTAAAAAATATGTGAATTTTACATGGCATAATTTGGTGTCAATAAGTTTAAAATTTTGAAATGAGAGAAGAACTGAACTATACTGTATATCATATTTAGTTCCTTGGAAAAGATTCTGACTCTTCTACTGTTGCTTTTGAGAGGGTGGAGTCAAGAGGACTTGTTTTGGTTTGGTTACCTTGTAGCATGTGGTGCAATCGTGGGAAGTATAAAGCATGGGGATTTAAATATTTGTTATTACTCTTAATATGGTGATCCTATCATGGACCTAGTATAAGCTGGCAACTAAGACCATTACTAGTTCAGCAATCTTACAGAATTGACAATCGTTTAATAATCTTCTTCTTTGAAGCACTTAATCATAGGGTTGGATTTGGTATGGTCTAGAGCTACCGAGCAATTCTATATGAGAAAATGATAGCTAAGTGGATCTCTCCCCTTTGTTATGGGGACAGTTGAGCCAACTAATAACTATGTACAAGATATGTTAAGAGATAGTGGTAGCTCCGTTTAGATTTTTGTCTGCAGATGTGAAGTCAACAATTTCAATTTCTTATTGATGTCTTTCAGGTTCAAAGTGAATTTCAAAAAGCATATGACAAAGGGATTCCCAAATCAAAGTAACGTCTCTGACTCTAAGGATGTTCTGTTCTCATAATTTTTTATATATAATGTGAGCATCATAACACAATAAAACTTCTAGGTACTGGGAACCAACTTATGAGGATTCTCTCAATCTGATTGCCCGTGTGCCAATAGTAGCTTCATATGTTTATCGGAGGTCAGTTTCATTACATTCAAGCCTGCATATTTAGTTTGATTCATTGTTGGGTGGACCACAGCATGATGGAGAGCCTTGTGACATGAAATAATTTTTGACAGGATATACAAAGATGGAAAATTTATTCCCTTGGATGACTCTCTGGATTATGGTGGAAACTTTTCACACATGTTGGGATTTGATAATCCCCAGATGCAAGAACTTATGAGGCTTTATGTTACAATCCATAGGTTTGTATATATTATTCGCTTCAAAGAAACAATATGATCTGTTGATCTCAGGTTTAGGGATGTATACTTGTTTTTTACTCAAATCTATTTCTTAGGAAAAAAATTACCTTTGTTTATCGATTTCTTTCTTTCTTATATATATATGGGGCTGCAGTGATCATGAAGGGCCGGCATGTCAGTGCTCATACTGGTCCACCTGGTTAAGTTGACTTAGAATTCTCAAGGTTGTCAACTTTTTAGAATGTGTAATTGTTTTAAATCCATAGTATGCACATTTTATTCTTTTTCACGTGGGGTATGGAGGAGCATAAGAGATGCTGATATAATATATATATTAATTTTAATGGTGTGCTGCAGTGATCATGAAGGCGGCAATGTCAGTGCTCATACTGGTCACCTGGTAAGTTGATTGAATTCTCAAAGGTTGTCACTTTTAGAATGTGTAATGTTTTAATCCATAGTATGCAATTTTATTCTTTTTCACGTGGGGTATGGAGGAGCATAAGAGAATGCTGATATACATGATCTTCTTTAATCCATGTTCTACTTGTCAGGTTGCTAGTGCACTTGCGGATCCTTATCTTTCATTTGCCGCTGCATTGAATGGCTTGGCTGGGCCACTCCATGGCTTGGCTAATCAGGTATCATATGTTATGCTGCTTCAGCTGATTGGCTTTATTTCCCTCACCGCTTCAGCTCTATCTGTTAATGGGTCTTTGTCAATTTTTCTCTTGGAGTAATAAATTATCCTTGTTGATGTAACAAAAATGCTTGATGATCCATCATTTGACAAATATAAGAGCACTAGGTTCTCTTGTTCCTTTCATAGCATTAATCAATACCTGAAACAAGGTTTAAGTGGAAAATTTTATTTCTTTATTTGAAGTTGTGAGGCTTCTGGTTATAGATAATAATGTTCTTTTACCAACTATGTAATCTATTACAGGCTCTTTTTTCACCTCTTCTAGTCTTGGCTTTAGCATGCCTATTTTCATTATTTTCCTACTTCAGCTGTTTATAATTCCATCTTATATTTGTGAATGATTGTATGATTTATTGTTTTAATTTCCACGATATTTGGATTGCAGGAAGTTCTTCTTTGGATCAAATCCGTGGTGGGAGAATGTGGGGATAATATAACTACAGAACAACTGAAAGACTATGTCTGGAAAACATTAAAGAGTGGGAAGGTAATTTACAGTATTTTGAAGCTAAATTAGAGGTTAAGTTTATTTTGAAGCTAAATTAAAGGTTAAGGTTATTGCACACTAGCATTTTCCCTCCAAAGGTTTATGCAGACTTACACACCTAGCTGACTTCAAACGTGGTCACTGCTTGCAAATATGGTTAACCTGGGAATGTTTTTCTGCCATGTTTTGACTTCCAAATTTTCTCAAACCTTTTCTTTTTGGACTCATTGGAGGCATAACATTGCAGGCTACACAATATAGACTATCCTTATCCTAAGTTCTCCAAAGTAGTGAAAACTCTTGTAGTTGAGAGGACTCCATCCCGAGACCTTCACTTGCCAAATTCTTATAGAAAGCGAGAAAACTAACCATATTGTACCTGATTGATATCATAAATTATGACATTTTATTTTGAATCACCACCAAGATAGCATTGTAGCATCATAAAATTTTTTGGAACCTTAGTTTTGGGAACTGTTATTTTCATTGTGCTTAATCATACTTGCTGCCTATCTTTCTATCCAATTTGCAGGTTGTTCCTGGATTTGGTCATGGAGTTTTACGTAAAACTGATCCAAGATACACATGCCAGAGGGAGTTTGCATTGAAGCACTTACCTGATGATCCACTATTCCAGCTGGTTGTTACTATTTTTTGAATACATTTTTTTTTGGTTTTTTGAATAAGTTAATATATTTTTTTTTATGGAAACCAGGTTTCTAAGCTGTATGAAGTTGTACCTCCAATTCTTACCGAGTTGGGCAAAGTAAGTAAGCTAATTTATTTTGCTTTAAACAAACTATTTTGAAGAATTAAGCATGCTGAGGCTTGAAGAAAGAAATTATCCATAGATCCCACTATATCTACATCCTTAGCTGCTGGGATCTTTTTCTATCAATGTGATGTGGGATCTATTCCTAATTTTGTTGTGGGCTTTGGGAACTTGTAGGTTAAAAACCCCTGGCCAAATGTTGATGCTCACAGTGGCGTATTGCTGAACTATTATGGTTTAACTGAAGCTAGGTATTGTGTCACCATCTCATCTGATAACAAATTATGCTATTGCTATTTTACTACTAGGATGAAAGGGATTACATTCTTCAAAAATTATTATGAACAGGTACTTCACTGTTCTTTTTGGTGTATCAAGGAGTATTGGCATTTGCTCTCAGGTTTGTCATGTTATTGTTCATTGTTTCTATTGTTCAACTTACTACCGTAAGTTTTTCTGAATTATACTTTCATTGATTCAGCTAATATGGGACCGAGCTCTTGGATTGCCACTTGAGAGGCCGAAAAGTGTGACTATGGAATGGCTCGAAAATTACTGCAAAAAAGCAGCTTCATCCTAAACGCTGAATTATTTCATCCATAGTAATAATTATTCAAAAACATGGGTTTTCCAATTGATGAAGGGGTGATGTAAAGTTGAGAGCTTGTCATTTTTTTGTAGCTTTTTCATTTTTTCTTTCCAGTTGGAACAAAGGGTTGGATCCCTAATCCGGTGTTGATACATAACAATGGTTACATTAAACTTTAGCAGGGATAAGAACCACGGTCTAGTGAGCCGTTTGAATAAAAGTGTTTCGGTGCTTCTGCTGGAAATTTCAATGTCATTTAGTTTCTCTTGACCGTCTTTTGACTTGTAAATTACAAGTAGCTAAAATTGTATTACCAGATGAATAGAGCACTTCTGCATCATGTTTGAAAATGAATGTGGCTTTTGCTGCAGTGCAAATTTACTACTGATGACATTTGTGTTATAAGAATCTTTTCAAATGCAAGAATAAAACAATGATCTAATTAATAAAGGCTTCCATTAATTAATTAAACAAGGGTACTTTTGAAAGGTGGGAGAAAAAAGACAAGAAAGGAAAGTAAAAAAAAAAAAAAGAATGCTCTGTGTGAAGAGCAAATATATAAATCCTTGTCCTGGCCTGTCAAAATACATTCTGACGATTGCGGGGCACCTAAAAGTTAAGTCCAAGCTATAAAAGGAATCAAATGGCGTCTCTCTGTGCCGCCCGACCATCGCAACTGGTTCAACGCTTCAATCCAACTACTAAAGCTAAATTTACCTTCAGCAGCAGCGCTGTCAAACTTACTACCAGAGTCTGTCACGCCTCTTCCAACTCCAGGTACTTACTCTCCACTTCAATCTAAACCCTCGTATTTTGGGTTTTCATTCCTATCGATGATGCTGTACTAATTTAACATATTCACGCACTTCCAAATTTTTGCTTGTTTTGGTGGGTTTTTGATTTCTAGTTTTCTAAGTAGAAAGTCACTTTCTTTATTCATCAATCATGGAGAAAATGAAAATCTGTGTTTCAACGAGTCCACCCAATTTCTTAATTTAGTATATTTTCTTGTGAATTTCTGAGTTCAGATTGTTCCTTTCCAGAATAAATTTATAGGTCACTGTTTGTGTGTTCTCGAAGTAGGAAGTCACTTGCTTCAGACCTTTTCATTTCATCAATGGTGGTGAACATGAATGTGGTTGTTGGTTGTGTGCTTTACTTTTTGTGGGATTATTGCCGTTTGTTTTCAACGCTTGGTATCAGGTAGTTTGTGTCATTCAAATGAGAAAAGTGGAATAACTGCCGCCATCTCATTTACAGGCAAGCAGATTTTTGGTTTTGTTCTTTTTTCCTTTTTTTTAAAGAAAAAAAAAATGGTATTTGTTTTTGATTAACCTGTGATTGCTACCTTGTTGGTCCTTGCTTCCTCAGCTGTGATTGCATCTTATATCATCACATTGTTATTCTAGATGATTTAAGGTAGCAAATAAGATTGTGATTATGATAAGATCTTGTGGCTCTTATTTGATTGCTTCTGAAAGATGCTAGTGCCTAATGGTGTAAGCATTAAATTAAGAAGCTCTGCGAAAATTTGATATGCTCAGCATCCTCTGTAACTTGAACATCGAAGACGTCACTTGCAAATTAGTTTTGGTCATCCGGTTTTACATTAAGGTATGAGCTAACCATCAGTAAACTTGAGCAAATATAGAATTGAAATGTCAAACATTAGGCTCACGTTAGGATTTGATTATTGAGTTCCTTTGTTTCAAATTGAAGTTTGTTCTGTATAAACTTTTTGATGTTTGCTTTAAGATTTATGGTACGTCCACCACTGTGACTTTCAGAATCTTATATTAGTCTATAACTGAGTTCATGCCAAAGAAAACGGATGAATATTCAGAACTTGTTACAATTTACTCAACATCACGTTTATTTGTAGGTAATCAGATACCTAAACTAGTTAGTATGGAACTTGTATGCTGCAACTAAAGTCAACCTTCTTTCTTGCAATTATTTAAAATTGTTCTTTTCTTCATCCAGGTTCAAGAATACTGTAACATTGCAAGGAAGGGAAAGGTTACTTGTTGCATTTGCATCAAACTCTAGTCCTCCTGGTGGAGATTCCATCAAAGATACATCTGATAGGATCACAAGTAATGCCACCCAAGGCCCTCCACTCCTAACTTTTCTGGCAGGATTCCTTGTTTTTTGCATCATATGCTGGATTTTTGGATCTATTATAATGTGGCTGTTCGGACTAATAGTTAATGTGCCTCCTTCAAAGTAGGCTGAATTTGTACTGTTAGTAATGTTGAAATGCTATATATGCCTAGCTTCTCTGCACTATTGAGGCAGAAATTTGATCAAAAGAAAAGGAAGCAGAAAAGCAAAATCATAGCAGTAGGTGGAATGAAATAAATCTAGTATGCTATGTAACTATCGTATCCATTAATGGGTTAGCCATGATTTCTGTCTTCAGCACTATGTTAATTATATGTAAATGTTATACTCTAATCTAGGTTGTGTATGATATAGTTAAATTTTTGTTCCATTCTGTTAAACTTATCGTTCCTTCTATAACTGTCATCATGATAGCGAAAATTTTCACCTAGAAGTTTGGGGAGCTTGTACACAAATTAACCTACGAGCCATAATGGCCAAGAAAATGGTCTTCATGACCAGATATCCATTACTACACTGGCTCCTTCAAATGGTTTGGCCAAATGCATAACAAAGACTAGTTTTTACGTCACCAATAGAGAAACATTCTGTCTGAGAAAAAATATGGTCCTCTGCACCAACATTCCACAGAACCAACATGCCTGTCTGTTATCAGTAAATGGTTCCATAATTAACCAAATCAGCCAAGAAATGCACAACATTATCAATTAAATGGGAAGAACAAGATGGACATGACTTACATTCCAAGAAAGCAGAAAATTAATCTTATTGTTGTTGAAAGATAGAGCAAATGCAGAAGGTCATAAAAGGGCACTGCTTCCCACAAAAAACTTAAATTCTCTGATTGGGGATTGCAAAAGTTAATCAGCACTTTTCGCCGTCTCTTGTTGAGCATCATCTTCAAGTGATCCTGTAAAATTTCTCCGCTCATCAGCAGTAGCTGTAATAACTGGCATCCAGACATCAGCAGTACCACTCAAGATTGACTGCACCTGTGGATCTGCAGCCATTGCTGATGATATCATTTCATCAACATCATCCAATTTTGCTGATAATTTATCCAGCTCCCTTGCTATTTCCAGCTGTCAGTAAAAATGAACAACCACGAGAAGAGACTCTATATAAGAGAATGTTTATCTCAAAAAAGGATTGCGGGGGGCAACAGAAACATTGCAGCAATTGATTTTTATTCACCTCATCAAGGCTCTTAGTTGACTTTGTAGGAACTTTTGTAACCTCTAATCCAAGTGCTTCAATTTTGGATCGCAATTCAACTTCTTCCTGATTAGTTATTGACTCTACCTATAACAATTAAGAAGATTAAGATTCACAATACATGGTCAAGGTATAAACTTTAAACATTAAGTAGTCACCAAGTTATGCCTCTGTCTCAAATTTTGCACCCAAGATAGATATTAGATATTGGAGTTCATCTTAGCCTGTCAGCAGGAAATTCAACACAACTACACAAGATTACATCTATTTAAATTTTTCCGTTCAAAAATTGTAGATTCTACACAATTAGCAGCTCATTACATAAAATTTATACAGGATCATATTTGCAAAGAGATCACAGAAGAACTCAGAGCCATTGCTAAAAAATTCCTAAAACAAAAAAAGTGAAACCAAACTAAAGAATCAAACTAAAGGCAGAGTCTTCCTAGCTCAAGCAGACACCCCGTCATAAATTGATGAAATACAGAAAATATTATCAAATCAACAGAAAAAAGCCATTTCAATTAAACCCATATGCTTTAAATTATGCCAAATTCTTTCTCCTAAATCAATTAACCAGTACGAGTTAAAGAAAAAAGAAAAAGCATTGATCTGTGTGGAGTTGAAAAAGAAACGCACTTGCTGGAGAAGGTTGGACAGGAGCTGAAACAATTGCGCATCTGCTTTGCCTTCGTCTTCTGCCATTTCGGATTTCTCCCCGTCTTTTCGCTTCTTTCTAATTTCTTGTTACGTTTTTGTCTAGGAAATAAGCGCGTGTAGGCACGCCCTTTCAGTTCATTGACATGTGTGACGTGTCCTTAATGGCTGATTTTCAGGAATCAGACATCCGTTACGAGGAAAAGTTCCCCTCTAACTCATATACAAGTGGCGGGTTGTGTAAACCGGCAGTTTAGGGCTGATCTCAATTCCTCTTTAAGCCGGCTTCAGTCACAGCATCAATACGATCCCAATTTTACAAATTAAAAAAAATATATATATTGGGAATCGGATTGCTTAAAATTTCTAATTATGCAAGAAATAGAAACATTCTGTTAACTTTGCCCCATAATATTTGTCACATTCAGAACTGCACATCTTTAAGAAAATTTTATTTAAATTTATAATAAATTATTAAGTAAATTGACTATATTATCCTTAATTTAATATTATTTTTTTAAAAAAACCATTAAATTAAGTAATAATTATTGGTCATATAAAAAGGATAAGTATAAAAAAAAACATTTATTACTCTTTAAAACCATAAATATGACAAATATTTTGAAATAAACTATTTTCTGAAATATAACAAGTATTATGGAACATAAATAGTATTAGAGAATTAGTAAGTGCATATACAACTTGATAATCAATTGAGATTGTACGAAGGATAAAGGTGGAAAAAAGCTCAAGAGGAACTGTAACTTGTTGGATGTTTCTATATAAAATGCTTTTGTTTACTTTTGAAAAAAAAAAAAAAAAAAGACTCCACTAGGATTTTAAAAATACCAAAAAAGTCTTTAAAAGTGTAATAGAAACTCATTCCTTTGTGTTTAAGCAATTATCCTTCAATTCATAATAGAAATTCTTAAAGAAAAAGGTTAGAAAAACTCAAATTGGTATTCACAAATCTAATTCCAATAGTCTTGCAATTGCTATGATTGATTAGAATAAGGAAGGTAAAAGGAGAAAAAGAAAAGGGAAAGACTTGAATAAGGTGTGTGTGATAGTTTGGGTTCTGATTTTAGGTGGAAGATGCTTTCTCTCGAGGGAATTTCCTTTAACTTTGGTCTCCGGTGGGCTTTAGTGTCCTTAACTTCCATTCCAAGTAACATACGGACTATGGCTCAGTTGGCAATATTGGTTAAGTATATGGGAAGAGTTTTCAGTTCCGATCCCTACTAAACACACCTCTATAGGGAGAGGCGAATAGTTTTAACTGTAATTAGGCCCTGAGTCGAATTAGTCAGTTCCTAATAATATAGTCCGAATACTGATGATTCACACAAAAAAAAAAAAAAAAAAATTCCAATTATGTCTTGCAAATTGCTATGATTGATTTAGGAATAAGGAAGTGTAAAAGGATGAAAAAGGAAAAGGGAAAGGACTTGGAATAGTGTGTGTTGTGATATTTGGTCTGATTTTAGGTGGAGATGCTTTCTCTCGAGGGAATTTTCCTTTAACTTTGGTCTCGGTTGGGCTTTAGTGTCCTTAACTTCCATTTCCAGTAACCATACGGACTATGCTCAGTTGGCAATATTGGTAAGTATAATGGGAAGAGTTTTTCAGTCTTCCGAATTCCCTTTACTTAAACCACCTCTATAGGGGAAGATGCGATAGTTTAAACTGTAATTAGGGCCCTTGAGTCGAATTAGGTCAGTTACCTTAATAATATAGTCCGAATACTGAGGATTCACACAAAAAAAAAAAAAAAAAAAAAAATCCCTCCAAATACTGATAGTTTTACAAAGAAAAAACTTCACGCGAAATATAAATACACTCTTATTAAATGCATGTTAGTTGCATGAAATACTGGCATGCCCTAATTGGAAGCCTCGATGGAGAAATGAAAGACTATTTGCCCTAATTGGAAGCATCAATGGAAAAATGAAAGAATATTATTCTAATTAAAGTTGCTAATTTCCCAAAATGATTTTTGGCTGTGAATATATCCTATGCTTGCATTAGCAAAGGCTATCTTTTCACTTAGCTACTTTTCATATATCTTTTTGCAATAATCAAAAGGACAAGACTCCCATAGCAACATATAGTACTAGTATAGGATAAGAAGCATGTCACCTTATTCCTTATTTCATTATCATAATTAAATTAGTTGGTGAAATAATTAAAGTCAGCCATCTTTGTGGACTATCAAGTTTAAATGTGTGAATGTGTTAGGTTAGGTCCTTCACTAACAATAATATATATATATATATATCTTATATATATATAATTATATCTATATATATATATATATAATTCACTCTCTCATCCAATTATACTTCCCCTTAGAGCTATCCCGCAATTATTCATCAATTCCACAAGTGTCTACCTTTTTTCATCTTGATGATGCATAATTTAGAATAAAGATGTTTTTTTTTTTTTTAATCGGGAGGTGTTAATTCCTTTTGGACGGTAGAATATAAATGTTTTGTTTTGGTGATAAATACGCATTTTTTTAATCAATTAATGAATTTCTATTTTTTCTTTTTTTTTTTTTTAATCGGGAGGTGTAATTCCTTTGGACGGTAGAATATAAATGTTTTGTTGGTGATAAATACGCATTTTTTTAATCAATAATGAATTTCTATTTTTCCTTTTTTATTATTAACAGTTAGAAAATTTTACAAAATCAAGCATTTACATTCCGATGAGTAGATCTCTCTGTACATTCAAACTTAACTCGGTAATGGTAAATGAAAAAATATGATAAGATAATACATTATTATAAACGAGTTACAAAGTAAAATCAAATCTAAGCAAGAAAAGGAGTTTTTACCTCTACTCTCTTGGCCAAACCATCTACAAAGTGGTTGCTAACTCGGCTCACCTTACTCATTTAGCACTTGCCTAACTTGTGAGTTTTTTTTTTTTTTTTCTCAAAACTTTTGTTATACTTTTCAAAAAGCTGAGAAGTTGATCAATATGTTTAATTAACTTTTGGATTCATCCACTTTTTTTTTTTTGTCTCTTCTTTATAGTTGTGCTTTTATTTATATATAGCAATAACACTATCTGTAGGAGTATAAAATTATAATAATCCTTGTGATATTGAGATCTTGTGAATAGATAATCTCATAAACTAATTTGTACCTTTTAAAAAAAAAACAAAAAAGTTAGGCTTACCCAGGAGAGGAAGGCTTGGGTTTTAGTGGTTCTTTTAGTTCTTTTCTACTAATCAAATGGAAAATGAGAAAAGATTAGTTAGTTTTCACCATCTTTCATTTTCTTGAAAATGAAATTTCACCGCAAGAACAAATAGATAGAAAAATGAAAAAAAAAGAAAGAAAAGAAATTGATATAACAACAAGAGACACTATTACGTAAACCGAAGCAAACGGGTGGCTGAACTGAGTCCAACAACGTCCAAATGTCTCTGCTTAGGCAGAGTCATGATGAGTGACTCATGTCATGTGGAACTCAACCAGACGACATAGCAACCCAACATATGCCTCCCATAGGAGCAGCAATCATGTGAACTCAAACCCACCAAGCAACCTCAAAAGTCCAAACTTTTTGCTCTACGGATTGGTAATGGTACTACGGATTGATCAGGTCAATCTCCCGCTTGGCATTAACTCGCAAGAAATTGTTGTTAATCAATCCACTACAGTTGTTTTAGTGGAAAGTTCTTTTCTTTCTGGCATTATATATTGTAAACAAAAAGACGAGAGCATGTTAAAGTATAGTGAGGTGTCAGGTTCTCATTGCACAGACGAAAATGTAAACGAAGAGCGCTTATGCCGTAGACTAGACTAAAATACCACTTGCTTGCGGCCATCGCATTCTTCTTCTCTTCCGTTGTTTATAGGTTCCACCTTCTTCTAGCCTCTTCAAGTATCCTTCACCAATCAATTACTCTGTCTCATATTTATATCTGCATATGTAATATATATACACTTTAGAGACTTCCCAAACTCTCTCTTCTCTCTTTTGTTCTGTTCTGTAAAGCAGTCGGTTTTTGGAAGTGAAGTGTTTGGGTTGGTTGATCATGCACAGCATAGCTTGTTATTGAAGCTTTTGGTATCTGTTTGTCAACTGGTAGTCTTTTACTTGCTTTCTCTTCCTCTGTTTTGCTGTCTCTTCTATAATTGTTTGCTTAGAAAAGCTAGGAAGGCACAAAGTTCCAAATTTGACTCAGAAATAAATTCCCAAACTGAGCTTGTAATCCGCTTATATCACTTTATCAACTTGCTGAAATAGACTGGGAAAGTATGCTTAGTTTCTCTGGATTGTTTTGGGTTTTATTGGCAACCAAAAAGAGGTCAGAGTTCGCCCTGGGATGGATTCTTGTGTTCTCCCACCGGAAATGAAAAAGATTATTTTTTTTTTTCCTGATTGGTGCCGTGAGGGGAATATTTTCTTTTTGTTTACCAGTTCCATTACTTCTCTTTACAGTAATTTGGAAGGATTTCCTTTTGTCTCTGTTTTGTTGCTGAACAACTGGATGAAAGAATACAAGAAAAGAAAACAAAACTACATTTGGTAGTTGAATTGGACTTCACTCGGTGGTTCAATAATGAAATTCTGTAGGCTTAAGACTTCAATTTTTTGATTCGTTTCATGTGATAACTTTGTAATCAAACAGAATGGGCAACTCAACTTGGTGATTCTGTGGGTTTGGGTTCGGGCTTAGGGGTTTGTTAGTGATTTCCTTTTTTATTTCTTTGTTTGTTCCTATACACACGCACAGATATACACTTCTTTTGTTTACCATTTTTATGTTTCATGATTCATGACAGAAATAGGGAGGACTTAAGTTGATCGCTGGTGGTCTAAAATATGTCAAGTAGAAGGGGTTCTGATCATCAACCGCCCCAGAGGCGGCTTCTGCGGACTCAGACAGCTGGTAATTTGGGAGAGTCCATGTTGGATAGTGAGGTGGTGCCTTCTTCACTGGTTGAGATTGCTCCAATTCTCCGTGTTGCTAACCAAGTAGAGGCTAGCAACCCTAGAGTTGCTTATCTCTGTAAGATTCTATTTCATTTGTATTTTGGTAATGTATTTGATAAACAGCATATTGAACTATTAGAGGAAAAAATTAATGTAATTGGAAAATAATTTTGATATCTTAGCAGAAAGGAAAGTTCTTAGTTGAAAAGATTGATTTTGGATTTTTCCCTCTAACATCTTCCTATTTGAGAAGAATGATGCTATTACATA